TAAAAGACATCCATTCAAAGGACTCTTCTCCTACCCTCTGCCCTAAAAATACAAAGAGCTCTTAAAACTCAACAATAATAATAATTTAAAAAATCTGATTAAAAAATGGGCCAGCCTGGCTGGTATGGCTCAGTGGATTGAGCGTTGTCCCATGGACTTAGAGGTCCCAGTTCAATTCCCTGTTAGGGCACATGTCTTGGTTGTGGACTTGATCCCCAGCAGGGGGCATGTGGGAGGCAGTCAACTGATGTATCTCTCTCACATGGATGTTTCTATCTCTTTCCCTTTCTCTCTCTCTCTAAAAAAAAAAAAAATCATAAAAACATATTTAAAAAAATAAACATAAAAAAAAAGTCCATAGACCTGAACAGATACCTCACCAAAGAAGATACAGACAAGAAGTAAAGCATATGAAAAGATGTTCCACATCATATGCCACTAGAGATTTGCAAATTAAAATAACCAGTGAGAATGGCTGAAATCCAACATGACAATACCAAAAGCAAGCAAGGATGTGGAGCAACAGGAACTCTCGTTCATTGCTGATGGGATTGCAATGGTATAGTCAGCCTTGAAGACAGTTTGGAAGTTGGCAGTTTATTACAAATCTAAACATACTGTTACCATATTAATTCAGTAATCACTCTCTATAGTATTTACCCAACAGAGCTGAAAACTTATATCTACCCCAAATTTTCATGTGAATGTTTATTGCACCTTTATTCATAACTGTCAAAAAGCTGGAAGCAACCAACACATTCTTCAATAGTTGAATGGATAAATAAATGGGTACATTTAGACAAAAAAATATAGTCAGCAATAAAAATAAATGAGCTATCAAGCTCTGAAAAGAAACGCAGGGACCTTAAATATATATTATGAAATGAAAGCAGCCAAACTGAAAAGGCTACACACTGCATGATTTGAACTCTATGACATTCTGGAAAAGATACCACTGTGGAGACAGTATAAAGATCAGTGGTTGCCAGAAATTCAGGGGAAGGAAAACAGGAATGAAAAGGTGGAGCACAGGTGATTTTCAGGTCAGTGAAACTATTTTGTATGATACTGTAATAAGGATAGATGTCTTTATACATTTGTCAAAATCCATAGAATGGCCGCTGCTGAAAGGCTGTGACCAAGGAGGAATTTCAGCGTGAATCGACTGCTTCAGCTCCCAAGTTCACTGGGGTGTAACCTGACTGGTTGTGCTAAATGACAATGCTTTACCTTCACAAAATTAGATGGCAGAGAATTGAGAGCAAGGAGCTGGAAAAATGTAACTTCACACTTTTTTTTTGGAGATCTGGAAGTAGTCTCTAGAAATTGAGTGTGTGAGAAGTTGAAAGATATTCTACTCACTTAAGAGCTATCTTTGCTCATACTTAAAGTAACAAGATGATAGCCTGTCCATGGGGACTTCCTGCTATAGAACACATTTTCCTACCAACTTGAAGAAAAGACAAGATCCTAAGAACATTCACTTGGTATGTATGTTGGAAAAGAGATCATTTTAAACAGATCAGTCAAAATCTAGGCCAGAGAAATGCTCTAATTTATTCCCTACTGTGATCAGGAATTAAAGTTAGATAACATAAAGAATAATAAAAAAATCTGTTGTTATATATATACATTTTAATCATTGGTTTTTAACTTAACACCTAAAATGTACAATTGTCTGTCAATCCTGATGCAGGTTCAAGGCCTTTTGAGCACAGAGGTTCACTGACTGACATTTTTTTTCTTGCACAAAACACACCTATAAGGGATCACCTATGATTTCTAGTTTCCATTTCTTTGAAGTGGAACAAAAAAATTTACATTTATTTACAAAGCAATTTTAGTACTTTTGAAATTTTCCAATCTTTTAGTGTTTTTTTAACTCACTACTAATTAAATCACCACTTCATTGAGTCTTTCTAAAACATGAACTTAAGTTTTATAGAAACGATCATCTGTTCCTATTCATAAAATGATATAAGTAGACTGGAATAAGATACAAGTATCTATTTTGAAACATAGTAGCTGTCAGCATGTCAATAATGTAGCCAGTTCCCACTATGTTTTACAGAGGAAATAAAGGGCATCAGTTAATGTGGTGTGTTGACTAGTGGAAATCAAGTAGGAGAATTTCTAAAAATTGGCCCCAAAGAGGAGGGGGGTTGTGGTTAAAAACCAGCACTGCTAGCAAGGGCTAAGCCTTGCTCAGAGTGTGTACCTAAGGCTACACATGTTTGCTTGATCAGATGACGTCTTTAGATCTAATTTAGTACCTCTTAACTTCCTCCACAAGAAGTAGTAAAACAAAAATGAGGCTTTCACACCAATGAAGACTCGATCCACAACAGCTTATGAACAACTTGTTCTTTGCTGGCAACAAGGGGATGGAGCTCTCTGATGTTACAGCTCTTCCTCTCAAATGGGAGCAATAGGTGAAAGAGCACATAAGGCCACTTCTCTTTCTCATATATTACAATTTACACTTAGGTGTCTTTTCCTTTTCTTAGGTATCAGATGCTAAAGAGGACTTTATTAAATTTGTCTACGCAAGCTGGATAACAATAATAAAAATAAATTGAGCTTTGTCTGCAAATTATTTAAGTAGTCCCAACAGCCAGCAAGTGGGGAAAGTCACATTTGTATAAGAAATAAAAGAACTGCTAAAGGAAATGTTAAAAGTTATGAATTACAGAGCTTCTAGTCAAGATGGCAGAGTAGGTAAACACAGTATAGGCATAGTCCCATAACCACTCACAATTACAACTAAACTAAAGAATGACCATTGTCGAAAACCTCATGAACTCTATCTGAACAGACATCCTATAACTAAGGATTTACAGAAGAAGCCACATCAAAACTGGAAGGAGAGGCAGAGACACAGAACAGGCTGGCACATGTGGCAGTTAAAAATTGGAAGGGAGCCCTGGCTGGTTTGACTCAGCGGTTGGAGCGTCCGCCTGAGGTCTGGAGAGACCCGGGTTCGGTTCCCGCTAAGGGCATGTACCTCGGTTGCAGTTTGTCCCCGGCCCTGGTTGGTCGTGCGGGTGGCAGCCACTCGATGTGTCCCTTTCACATCGATGTTTCCCTCTCTCTCTCTCCCACTCTATCTGTACAAAAAATGGAAAAATGTCCTCGGGTGAGGATAAAAAAAAAAAAAAAAAAAATTGGAAGGGATATCTTGGCTGTGGAGGTCCCTCTCAAGGAGCGAGGTGTCCTAGCCCCTCAAGAGCACCCCCCCTCCCCCAACAGGGTTCCAGTGCCAGGAAGAAAAGTCCCCATAACTTCTGGCTGTAAAAACCAGCGGGATTGAGGCTGAGGGAGACGGAGGGCTGCTGGAGTTCCAAGTATTCCTCTTAAAGGGCCTGCACACAGACTTACTTGAACTCACTTGCTGTGATCTACAACACTAGGTCAGCAGCTCGAAAGGAGCCAGGGACACAGGCAGAGAAACTGAATTGTCTGGCATTAGGGCAAGAGCTGGAGAGGCAGCTTTCTCCCAGAGAGAAGTGCTGGCAGAGGCCATTGTTCCTTTGCTGAGCCCTCTCCCCATCGAGCCGGCAGGTTGTTTCCTTCAATCTGGCGAATACTGTTCCTCCTGCCCTGGCGATGACCCGAGACCCCATCCCACCCCAGCTGCTTCACTGGCTCTCCTACACAAACAGCCAATCTTGGCTTATGCTGTGAACTTTCCTAAAATCTCTCGAAGACCACAGGTAAACAGATCTGGGCAGTCATTTTCCACTTTACAGAGATGCTACATATGGAAGGGAAAACATTGGCAGAATAATGTATAGACTGAACAATTATGTTTCTATTCCTGTAGGTACACAAAAACAGCAAATATCAATATCAAGATGCGGAACAACAAAAAAAATTAGGTTGTCAGCTTAACAGAAATTTGCAGGTTTAAATTCCATGCTGCACAATGCTCATTACCTATCTATATTAGCTCCTTTCTAATGCACTATAGCTTTTTAAATCATTAGGAAAAAAAACTATTTAAATCCTTTCCCCATAAATTCAAGGTGTTAGCAGCATCTTTCCTTTTTTTTTAATCCTCACCCGAGGATATTTTTTCCATTTTTTGTACAGATAGAGTGGGAGGGAGAGAGAGGAAGGGAGAGAGTGAGAAACATCGACATGAAGGGACACATCGAGTGGCTGCCACCCGCACGACCAACCAGGGCCAGGGACAAACTGCAACCGAAGTACATGCCCTTAGCGGGAACCGAACCCGGGTCTCTCCGGACCGCAGGCTGACGCTCTAACCGCTGAGCCAAACTGGCCAGGGCTTAGCAGCATCTTTGACAGGCAGCAGGCATACTCAACTTTTTTACATTGCTTTTCAAATGTTTATTAAATGGAAAGTAGGAGTCACATCCTAGCATATGGCTAAGCTGTCACTGAAATTCAGCTCCATGTCCAGAGAATAAATACCTGTATAATGCTGGAGAACTAATTAAGTCAAGCTAATACCGGGTGATCATGAATAAAGCAATGAAAAGTAACTATGCTAACAACATACATAAGATCCAATATATTTGTTTCAAAATCACAGTACAACAGGAGAGAGTAAGAAGTTTTAATTTTAACAGACTCATCTAAAACTAAAAAGTTCAGAACCAAGTTAACATAATGAAATGATGTTATTAATGGATATTTTAGGTAGTACTACAAATGTCTAAATCCGAATTACTGATGGTTAGATACAAACAGGTCTACTGTTAATAGAATAATATGTGTAGAGACAGTATTAAGGTAGTGCGGCATAATAGAAATATCAGATTCTAACTTTTGTTTGCTCAATGTGTGACCTTGGGCAAATCATTAATCTCTCTAGATTATTAAGTTTCCTCATTTGCAAAAAATGAAGGTAATAATGCTGTCTCATGTTATAGGGAGAGCTTAACGAGATAATGAATATAAAAAGCAACTTACAAAGTATAAAACCCTACATAAATAGAAATTATATTGTGAGATGGGATAAAAGTAAAATTTACCTTTATATGTTCTAAAACAGCAGTGGCAACATTTGTGTGGAGATCAATAAGTCTTTTTTTTTCGAGGAGTTCTGGCAAAGAACTACAAGTATCAAAAAATTGAAAATTAACCACTAAATTTTCTAAGAAAATGACACAGAGCTTAATAAAACCCATATCTGGGTGTTTCCTCTGAAAGTTAGAAATGTAAAACAGTAACAAAATGATGAGTTAAACTATCAACTAAATTTAATCTCTAGGCTTGAACACATACAGCATTTATTACTTTAATACAGGTGAAGTGCTTTAGTTAACACCTTTCCTCCCTCCTTGATGACATTTAAAGTATTCAAAAGAAACCGCTTAACCTTTAGTTAATAAAGTAATAGTAACAATGATAAACTAATAACAGCTTGCATTACTTTATCATCAATATTATCTTCTTGGTAAAATTATCCACATTATACAATTCTCCAACTAGTGAAAGAAGCAAATGATCTGCTATATAAAAGAGGGAACTTAAATCAGCTTGAACATGTTAAAAACACAATTTAGTTCTTTAAACTTAAAGGTATATGCTATTACCTAGTATTTCTTATTATTAAAAATATTAAACTTTTTACTGCCTAAATACATCTTATCAACAGAAAGACTTCAAAGAGGATATATTCCTTACTTACCTAACAGCTGATGTTAGCTTAGCAGTATTGTCAGAAAGCATACTTATGGCTCCTTCATCTTCCCCTTCTAGTCCCTGGGAAAGAAAAAAAGGTCCCAGCAAATATTCACACATCCCAAACCCAAGAATAAAAATCAATATATTTCTAAGATCACTGATAAATAGTAAGATTTAGGTCACCCAGAATAACAATTCTTCTCCTTTAAGGAGCAAGCATATGTCTACATAAAGGACCGGCAGGCATTTTCAGATAAAGAAGACAGCCCAGAAACTAGTCACAGGTCACAGAGTAATAAACAGCAAAGCTAAAATCTGAAGTTAGATCAAAGTATAGTAGAATGAGTAGCATTGGAACATATATGTCTAAAATAAAGCTGCATTACATATTTTTCTAAATCATAAATTCACAATTATTCTTTAAAATTTTTTTTTGCTCTACTCTTCAGTATTTATTCATTATGAAAAAGTTATTTTATATGAATTTTTTATTTATTTATTTATTTTTTTAACCAATGAACGGCCTTGAATTTTTAGGAGAGAAAAGAAAGTTAACTTTCTCTTTTCAGATGTCCGTCTGCTTCCCTATAATTCTAAAAAAGCACACAGAATCTTACCATAATGCTTTTAAGTCGTTTAACTTCATCTTCCTGTGCTCTGTAAGATTCTAGTTCCTGCTGAACTGATTCTGCAACTTCTGGGAATGGACTGAAACAGTATTGCACAGAAGGGGTTAATAATCAACATTTATACAGAACTCAAGACAACTCTAAAATAACCAAACAATTCAATTAAAAAGTGGACAGAAGACCTGAACAGACACTTCTCCAGAGGACATACAATTGGCTAACAGACATATGAAAAGATGCGCAACATCACTAATCATCAGAGAGATAGAAATTAAAACATCAATGAGTTATTACCTCATATCTGTCAGAATGGCTATTATCAATAAATCAATAAACAACATGTGCTGAGGAGGGTGTGGAGAAAAGGGAACCCTCATGCACTACTGGTGGGTTTGCAAATTGGTGCAGTCACAACGGAAAATAGTGTGGAGGTTCCTCAAAAAATTAAAAATGGAATTTGCCTTATGACCCAGTGATTTCACTTCTGGGTACATATCTGAAGAAATCAAAAAGACTAATTTGAAAGAATATATGCACCCCTATGTTCACTGTAGCATTATTTACAATACCCAACATATAGAAGCAGTTTAAGTACCCATCAATGCATGAGTGGATACAAAACAACAACAAAAAACTGTGGTACATACATACAATGGAGTATTACTTGGCCATGAAATCTTACCATTTTTTTATTATGCTAACTGAAATAAACCCAACAGAGAAAGACAAGTATATGATTTCACCCATATGTGGAATCTAAAGAACAAAATAAATGAATACACAAAATAGAAACAGACTTATAGATATTGAGAATAGACTGATGGATGCTAGAGAGGAATGGGAGGGATGTTGGGGGACTGGGTGAAAAAGGTAAAGGGATTAAGAAGTACTAATTGATAGTCACAAAATAGTCACAGGGATTAAGAATAGGGAATATAATCAACAATACTATAATAACTATTTTTGGTGCCAGGTAGGTATTTGAAATATCAGGAGGAACACTTTGTAAAGTATAAGACTGTCTAACTGCTATGCTGTATACCTGAAAGTAATATAAAATAATGTTGAATGAAAACTGTAATTGAAAAAATACAGTTATATGCAGATTTTCCACTGTGCAGGGGTGAGGTTTGGGGAGAGGTCAGTGCCCCTAACTAACTCCCTGCATTGTTGCAGGATAAACTGTATATTACAAATACTATTTCTTTAAGATACATATCATAATATTTATACATCTAAACAAATTTAAATTTTATTTCCATTCTCTTCATTAACCATATCACATTTTCTCTTCACCTATATGCTATCAGAAAGAAAAGTAAAATATCTGAGTGACAGAAAAACAAAGAGAAGTCATGGTATATCAAACATCAATTAAATGATACATCCCAAATTAACTCACAGGGTTAAAGGGTCCATGCAACCACAAAGGAGGTATTTAAAAAGTATTACATGGCCCTGGCCAATCTGAGCATCGGCCCATGGACCGATGAGTCATGGGTTCGATTCTGGTCAAGAGCACGTTCGTCCCCGGCCCCGGTTGGGATCTTGTGGGAGGCAATCTATTGATGTGTCCCTCTCACATCGATATTTCTCTCTCCCTTTCTCTCCCTCCCTCCTACTCTATGTTAAGATAGAAAACTATCCTTGGGTGAGGATTAAAAAAAATATTGATAAAAAGTATTACATGACAGTAACTGTGACAAGAATCTTTTAATTCTGTCAGCTTAATACCCTAGAACACTAAAGGTAAAAACAACATAGGCCCCAGTTTTGTTGGGCTAACACCTGATACCTTCCTCCAGGTGCATGCAGGTTAGCAGTGCTTTCTATACATCAGACACACTGATCTGCAATCATTGAGAAGTTATGGTAGAAAAAGTGTTGCTTAATACTAATCCTGAATAATTCTAGAGGAACATATAATGACCATGAAATGGTCCCTAACATGAGTATTTTCATTTATCTACAGCCTCAGGGGAGGCCAGAGCCTTTACTCTTTTAAAAAAGAAAAAGTCACCCTGGCCGGTTTGGCTCAGCGGTTAGAGCATCAGCCTGCGGTCCAGAGAGACCCGGGTTTGGTTCCCGCTAAGGGCATGTACCTCGGTTGCAGTTTGTCCCCAGCCCTCGTTGGGTCATGCAGGTGGCAGCCACTTGATGTGTACCTTTCACGTCGATGTTTCTCTCTCTCTCTCTCTCCCTCTTCCTCTCTCTCCCTCCCGCTCTATCTGAACAAAAAATGAAAAAATGTCCTCGGGAGAGTTTAAAAAAAAGAAAAGGTCATGTCTTATCAGCAATGAGACTAAAACCTCCCACTCTTCCTTCAGGCCTGAACTTGGTAACACTTCATTAATGATCAGTACATTTCATCCAATGGAGAGGGACAGAAATGACAGACACTCTGAAAGGGTTTTGAGGAACATAGTCCAGTTTTATATAACAAGACCAGGCACTAACCCCAACTCCAACAGTCTATGTCAGCAAAAAATAGCACTGAGCATGTAAAATGTGCTTGGTGAACTAGATGATCCTTAAAATCTCTAGTAGCTTCAGGTCTCAGAGCAAAAAGACAATAATTACAGCTTACATTTACTGAGTGCTTACTGTATGCCAAACACTCTGTTAATAATTTGTCTCTATTTTCTCATTTAATCCTGACCGGTCTTAGAGAGGTACACACTATTAATAGTTAACACCAGGGACTTTGGATCCTCCGGAACTGGGTTTTATCCCTGGTTTTACCAGCGAAGGCTGGATGACTTTGGGCAAGCTACTTCATATTAGCTCACTTAATCTTCATAACAACCTTCTGAAATAGAGCAATAGGTAGAATTATCATACCTACATTTTACTGATGAGGAAACTGAAACTCAGAGAGATTTGTCACCCATTTAACTATGCTGTCTCCTGGTGTCCTTTGTGCCCACATTACTACTGTAGTACAATATTCAGAGTCAGAGTTAGGGCTATTCCTACTTACAAATATTTAAAGTTCTTACTATTCACCTGGACTTTTGGTTTGTTGCTAAACATATGGTCTAAAAAACATATTTGAAATGTCCATATCTGAGTGAAGAGGTTTTTTTAAGCTTTTTCCTATTAAGGAATGTAAACTTCAGAGTTAACTTTAGAATATTCTACATCCTCTATGAATAATGTAAATGTAATTTCTTATTTCACTATTCTGGAAGGAAATGTAGACTATGAAATTCTAGAGAAGAAAATCATTTAAATCATAACTGCACTCAAATTTGCCATGGTCAGAAAGAGGAAGATAGTGGTTTTCTCTGTAGAGAAAAATCAATTCTCTGCTGTAACAACATGATTTTCCAGTGTTAAAAATTTATAAATAAAAAAAGATAAAACATACCAAAAAAGTCCCCATGTTGAACCTCTATATGCTACTTCTCTTTCAACATAAATGAGGCCAAAAAGAACAGCCGTATCAAGGAAATTTTATATATATATATACAATAACACATGAAATATTCAAAATAATATCATATTTCTTCACTGTTAATGTGCAACACTGTTTCTCTCTCAGAGGAATAGTTTTTGTTTGTTTAGAATGATTTCTCTAGCTATAATGACACTAACTAACTAACATTCATAACAGTTAGTGAGCCCACAATGTAGTCTGAACTTCCAGGACAGAGCAATCGCTGGGATCTGTGTACCTGCCTACAATAAATCATATGGAAAATATTATAATTTTTTCACCTATTATTTCTAATATACTTCAAATAATTATGGTTTTCAGGCTTAGGCATTCTTTCCATAGATATAGGAAACTGGGTTTGTACGAAGGCAAACGAACAAAAAGAGAAAATCAGACTTCAATTGTTTCATTATCACAAAAACCCATTTTAATGAAAGGCAGAAATAGTCTTGTGAAGGTCAGTGGGACCACAACTAAATTTAGAAAATCTATAAAATCTACAAAATCATATCATATGAGTTTATTGAAAGGGGAAGTAGCCCCTACAAAGCAACTAACAAAAACAATCTAGGAGTCAGAAAGAAATCGGGAAATAAAGACACATATTTATGAACTATTTAATTATAGCTCCTATTTGTTATAGATGAACCACCATGACCTTTTGGATTAAAAAAAAAAAATTAAATAAAAGAAGTCAGATGACATCCTCATTGCTTTTTAAGGGGCGGATCTTTTGCTTAATAATGGTTTTCTTACTTACCTTCCTTTATGTTTCTGCCAAAATTTATCCACTGGAGTTAAATCATAAGACTTCTTGCTTTTTCTCTTTGGTCTAGCACCAGCTGGAGAACTTTCCAATCCTGAAGATTCTTCCAGATTAACTCTGTTTAAGTGAAAATCCTAAGAAAAAGTAATCCTGTATTAAATAATAGTTTTCTGAATTTAAGAACCATAACATTTCCTACAACAAGGAAAAGAAGAGATTCTTGCTGCTTTTTCTAATATTTCCAATGATGAAATACAGGTTCTGAAATTTAGAAGACCTCTTTCTAATGTTTTGTTACATACAAATGTACTTCTAATTGTCTGTGTATATTAAAGTAGTAGCTGTATAGAATTAAAATTTCAAATATATATAAAAACCATGTTAAGGTTCTTGTGTATACTAGAAAAATATTTTTCACATGCCAGCATAGACATATCCTTTTAATTTTATTTAAACAATGGGATTACATTATTCATATCTTTTTGCCTTACTTTTCTCAATAATGTATTTTAGAACTCTTTCTCTATCTGTATATGTACAGCTACCTCATTTTTATCATGCCTTCGCAGTAGTCCAATATTCAGCTCTATTTATTTGACCAGACCTCTAGATGCTTCGTTGTTGCCAATATAAATAATCTTTAAAATGATTTTTAAACTCAAAGAGAGTCTTAACATTCTGATCTGTTACTTGATGATGGATTGCACGTTTAAAAAATTCCAATAGAAGCTACAATAATAACAGTACTCCTTGTCACATAAATTCTAAGAGCTTGTCAGAAAAGCAGTTGTTCCAAGTTTTTGCCTAGAATTAACTTTACTCCTGTGGGGCTTGATTTTATTTGCCCTTTCTCAAAAAACAAACATACAAAAAACAAAATAAAGGTAAATATTTTTTCTATTCTTTCCCTCTCCTTATATTTGATCTGTGGGTTCCTTCATGTAATAGCAGTATTTTATGGTTCAACTCTACTCTGAATAGCGACCTAGAGATAAAACATGGCTATCAATAAGTGAATAAATGAATGATGAACAAGCAAGAAATTATATGGATAAATTGTCTAGCATGATGCAATACAATCATTTTAGTTCTAAGATATGTTTTTAATTAATGATTTAATTTCTAGGTCTTAGCAAATTCAGTGTACTGAACACAATTTAATCTCCTCTTGAGAAAACAAGGTCCATCAATATAGTCTAGAGCAGTGGTTCTCAACCTTCCTAATGCCATGACCCTTTAATATAGTTCCTCATGTTGTGGTGACCCCCCCCCAACCATAAAATTATTTTTGTTGCTACTTTATAACTGTAATTTTGCTACTGTTATGAATCGCCATCAGAAATACGTGCTTTCTGATAGTCTTAGGCAACCCCTGTGAAAGGGTTGTTCAACCACCAAAGGGGTCGCGACCCACAGGTTGAGAACCGCTGGTCTAGAGCCTTAGACCATAACCTGTTAATTTTCTCAAATAAATCCTTTACAATAGCTTATTTCCTTGCCATTTTCCCTATGACAGCCCCCTCCTCAAAAAAAACGAGAGCAAAATATAGATGTCCAAATATCATAGTGGCATAAATAACAGAGTAATGTTATGTTTCAACCTGTTCATATTATGTCTTTCCTACAGAATCCTCATTATCAGAGGATAAACATAATCCGTAACCTTATTTAATCAGTCTTACTTTCCCACCCACACATCTTAACCTCATTCTGAACAAATCACACATACAGAAAGTACAACAGACATTAACAGCTACATCTGAGAACTCTTTGATTTTAAAAATTAACAAGATACTGAAGAAGTGAAACATTTTTATTTTATTTTTTTTAAATGTGTTTTTTATTGATTATTTTAGAGAGAGGAAGGGAGAGAGAGATAGAAACACTGACGTGTGAGAGCAACTTTTACTCTGGCAAGGAACTGAGCCAAATCTAGTCAAGTCTCTAGATCTACTATCAGTTTACAGGAAATATTCTGGATAGAGAAACATGTCAAATTGTACCTCACAAGGATACAATCAACCTAATGCAAAATGCAGAAAACTCTTTAGAAAAACAACCCAACTCATTTACCCCAAAAATGGCAGTAGAAAAGGAGTGGGTAGAGCATAATTGTTGTAAACTGAGAAACTTAAAAGACATATCAACCAATGGCATGACTTGGAACACTATTTGAACAAACTGTAAAGATGTATCTTTGAAACAATGAGTACAAAAATGACATTAGATATTATCAAAGAACAATTGTTAATTTTGTTGGGTAGGATAATAAAATTAAGGCACTTTTGTTTTTTTCAAGATATATGCTAAAGTGTTTATGCAAAACATCATATAATGCCTGAGGTAAGATGCATTAAGATGCATATTGTCTAGTAAGCTAAACGATGCACATGGAAGTTCATTACAGTATTCTCTTTGTGCTTTTATATGAAATATTCCCTAATAAAAGTCTTAAAATGAATCCATGAGCAGAGCTCCCCCTTGCCCATCTACAGTGGACTAGGAACAAGAAATACTGTGAACAAAAATAAATATTTGCCATTTTAATCCACAGAGGTTTGAGGGTTGTTTTAGATTAAGCAGCACTATCTAACTTATTACCATTCAGAGGCCAAGGTATTCTATACAGATTCTGCAATGTCAGGGACACTTAGGTAAGCTTGTTCACTCTTGTTAAAGCAGAACTCCTTGCAACTCTAGGAGTCATGACCTGAAACCCCCTCACAAAGGATATTGTTTGGAACACTATGCAATTGTTGCTGACAATACGCAAACATTTTCTATCAGTCTTCATGTGATAATCTCAACTCATAAACAATTAACTCAATCTCTAAACCAGTAAAGAATGTGGGCCTTAGTGACTTAGAAACGTAACTGTTACCACTAGTCAGGTTGAGTGGCTACTGAGTACCTGGAATGTGGCTAGTCTGAATTAAGATGTGATGTAAGTAAAAATACACAATGGCTTTTTAAGACTTATTATATAAAAAGAAATATAAAATATTTAATTATTTTTAAACTGTGTTAAAATGCTGTTTTTTATATACTGGGCTATGTAAAATATATTAAAAAATAAATTCCACCTGTTTCTTTATATTTTTTTAATGTGGCTACCAGAAAATCTAAAATTGCATCTGTAGCTTGTACTATATTTCTATTAGACAGCACTGATTTAGAAACACTGAACTTTGATCAGTGATGACAAGAAGAAAAAGAAAAAAAATGTACAGAAGACAGAAAAAGAGGGAGGAGAAAAATCAAATTTAGAATATTTGTTAAGAATTATTTAATTGAAAAAGAAAATCCTCATAAAATGGTTAATCATAAACATAAATAAAATAAATCTCTCAAAATCTTATGTACTAAGCAGCAAGGACGTAAGGGGGAAAAACCAGTAGCACCTAAACCTAGATTAGTAAATAGTAAATAGTAAATGAAAATACTCTTCTTTCCTTTAAATTAAATTTTAATCCAAGTTCAAAAATAGAAATGAATCTGGCACTACTGAAACAATATCACTGTAAAAAAGTTAATGAAATCAAGGCTGTCTTCTGGGCTTTTACATAGCCTGCATACTTTCAGTAGAGAGTTCCTACAAACAACTATAGTTTGTTCAGTTATGAACTATCTGTGCTTAGAATGAGTAATTTTTTTTTTTTTAATTCTCACCGAGGACATTTTTCCATTTTTTGTTCAGATAGAGTGGGAGGGAAAGAGAGGAAGAGAGAGAAACATCGACGTGAAAGGGACACATTGAGTGGCTGCCACTTGTACGACCCAACCAGGGTTGGGGACAAACTGCAACTGAGGTACATGCCCTTAGTGAGAACCGAACCCGGGTCTCTACGGACCGCAGGCCAATGCTCTAACCGCTGAGCCAAACCGGCCAGGGCAAATGAGTAAATGTTTTCATTACACTCTTGAGTTTTAAGGCAAATGCCTGAAACTATTCCAACACAGTGCTGTCCAAGAGGTTTTGTGTTAATAAAGATCAGAGGATCAATAGAGTATCAACCTTCAAAGTATCAAATTTTGAACTACACTCAGACATCAGTTATATTGGAATCACACATCTTTAAGAAAATGAGTGCTTCTAAATGCTTTTCTAATAACTTTTAAAATATATATTATTCAGAAACAAAATCCTTTTTTTCTTGAGTGGCAAAAAATTTTTTTAACTTTATTAAAGTCCCTATGTATATTAGTATAAATTCTGATTTAAGGTTTCAAATAATAAGAGTCAGGTAGCAAAGGGCTAAAGGCACAAAAATAGCACCTATCTAGAACTTTTACTCCATCTTGTGGAGGTAAAGAGTATAATTAAAAATTTTTAAAGCTTGGAAGAAACTTCAAAAGCAGCAGTTTTAGCAATCAACAAAAAATGGTGTTGTTACAATTTATTAAAGCTCAGTTCTAGTTTTTCACACCTAGAAACTGCATTAAAATTAATGAACAGAATTAAGTCAATATAAACTGTATAGTTACCAAAACCAATCTCCTCAAAAGACTTTTTTCATCTAAATATTCTAATAATACTGCTACTGAGAAAAGACTGCTTTAAATGATAACATAAAATCTGAGAACCTACCCCCAAAAAGTTAACTAGAGATGTGCATCGCTCTATTATTTATGATAACAAAAAATAATAACGAGAACCCAAATGTCCACAGGAATCCACTATTCTACCCAACATGCAAGCATGGATCACAACTGCTTTGTTCACCTTATATCTCAGTGACTCCCAGTGTCTGGTACAGAGCAGGCACTTAATAAGTACATGTTGCACTGAATTCTTTGGAGACACAAGGTTGCCACCTCTTTATTCTGTGAAGTGAAGTAAAGAAACTTAGAACAGAACAGAACAAAAAACCCTATCATCTACTTTTACCATCTTCTATTTTTTGTTGTTGTTAATCTTCACACCTAAGGATATTTTTACATGGATTTTTTTTTTTTTTTTTAGAGAGATAGGAAGGGAGGGAGGAATGGAGCAAAAGAGGGAAGAGAGAGAGGAACATTGATGTGAGAGAGAGAGACAGTAACTGGATGCCTTCCACACAGACCCTACTGGGGCTGGAAATCGAAACCATAATCCAGGTATGTGCCCTTAACCAGAACTGAACCCATGACCCTTTTGGTCTGTGGGCTGCCACTCTAACCGCTAAGCCAAACCAGCCAGGGCACACCATCTTGTATTTTTAAAAGGATATTTTAACTTCAAAGAGTAGAAAATAAAAGCCAGTATATTTCACAAGAATACAATAAAAGGTAAAGCACTAAAAAAATTAAAGGTCAGTCATAAAAACTCATTTCATAGTCCTTATTCTTATTATTCTCATTACACTCTGGAACAGTGAAAACCTCAAGGATCTGTATTAGCCTTGCCTGGTTTTGGGGAATCTGTGCTCTAAGATACATTTCCCAATGGGGACTCAGAATGTTTTCCTTTTATTACAATGACTTGTACATACGTCTGATCTCCTGCAGTCAAAGCATCATGTACATTAATTTCCTGCAAGAACTCTTTAAGTTCATTTACACAGCCTCCACACACCACTGGCAGGAGTGAAGCGGTGACCCCCCAAACTGTATATCCTAAGACCTTGCCCCTCTGTCCTAACCAATAGTTAGGGCTCTACCAACTAAATCTAATTTGAGATCATCAAAAACAATCCAATCTCATCATGCCCATCAACCCCTGAATGTTTTTTATACTTACCCCTTCAGATCCCACATCTCATTTTTACCTCACTCCCGAACACTTCTGTCATACCCTCTGGAACTCATACTCAGGCATCAGCAAAATCTCCTATTCTGAACATCAACTCTAACCTTCCATGGTACTTTTTTTGCTCGAATTGAACTCTACTGGCTATCCCTTGTAGCTGTCTTAGAAATTAACCATTTGGCCCTGGCCAGTTTGGCTCAGCGTTTGGAGCATCGGCCTGTGGACCAGAGAGTCCCAAGTTCGGTTCCTGCTAGGGGCATATACCAAAAAAAAAAGAAATTAACCATTTGTGTGTGTGCATGCGCACGCATGCTTTAACTCATTACACAGTTCATTTCAGTGGACCTGAGATTGGCACAGGTGTCTTCTTTGCTACTCCCTCACCCTTGAGTTGTCCTGTTCCCTAAAACAATGCCTGCTTTGAAACGGCCATCATTGGCCTATAACAACAGGTCTCAATCAGACAGAATTTTGTCCCCCTCCATTCTCTGGGCATATTTGACAATGTGTAAAGACATTTTGGTTGTCACAACTGAGGGAGTGTTACTGGCATCTAGAGGGTACACACCAGGGATGCTGCTAAACATCCTACACTGCACAGGACAGCCCCCCACAACAAAAAATTATCGACTCCAAAATGTTAATAATGCCATGGCTGAGAAATCCAGGTGTATAGTCATACTGATCACTAATACCTCCCACAGACCTGCAAGATATTCTTATCTCCTGCATCAACTTCTCTCTTTTGATCATTTCTACTGATACATAACAAGCCTGCAATTTTTCTCATTTAAAAATCTTTTTCCTGACCTCACATCCCCTTCCAAAAATCACCCCTTTGCTCAGCAATCCTACACAGCATAACTCTTCTAAGATTTGTCTCTATTCACTCTCTTATGCCTCTCCTTCCAATCTTTCTTAAACTCACTTCAGTATTTTGCCCCTACACTCTGAAAGCTGCTCTTACCAAAGTCACTAATAAGTTTGACATTGCCACATGTAATGGTGACTTAGTCCTCAGTATTTGTCCAAGTTGATGCCTGCCTCCTCTTTGAAACATTTAATTCACTGGCTTCCAAAATGACACAGATCTAGTTCTCATACCTCATTGGTTGCTTCATCCTGCCAGTTCCTATTCATCATCCAACCTCTAAATGTTGAAATGTCTGAGTTCAGTTCTTGGACCTCTTCTCTCTTTCATCTACTCATTCCCTTGGTGATCTCATCCTATTTCTTAGCTTTAAAATGTCATCTATATATGGACTACTCCTAAATTTATTTCTCTAAACCAAATGTTTCTCCTGAACTCCGGAATGATGTATCTAATTACCTATTTGATATCTACACTTGAATACCTTAATAGGTATCTCATATTTAACACGTCCAAAACTCAGCAACTCATCTCTCCCGTGAAATTGTTTTCTATTTCTTTTCCATTTCAATAAATAACACCTGTTCATTTGCAAAGATCAGATCATTGAAGTCATCTTTGACTCCTGTTTTTCAGATCCCACATCCAATTCATGAGCAAATCTTATACTCTACATTCAAAAGATTATCACAAACTGCACCATTTCCATTCTGGTGTAAGTTACCATCATCTCTTGCTAAGATAACCACAACAGCTTCCTAACTGTTCTCCTTGACTCTTCCTATGTCCCCAAGGAGTCTGTTTTCAACACAGCAGTAAGAGTGATACTCTTTTTAAAAAAAAAATTTTTTTTTTATCCTTACCCGAAGACTTTTTTGCATTTATCTTCAAATAGAGCAGGAGGGAAAAGGGGAGGAAGAGAGAAACATCAACACGAGAGAGACACATCGACTGGTTGCCACCCACGTGGCCCCAACCGGGGCCAGGGACAAACTGCAACTGAGGCACGTGCCCTTAGCGGCCAAACCCGGGTCTCTCTGGTCCGCAGGCCGACGCTCCAACCACTGAGCCAAACCGGCCAGGGCAAGAGTGATACTCTTAAAATGTGTATTAGATGTCAGTCCTTTTCTCAAAATTCCACGTGACTCCCCATTTCCTTCAGATTAAAAGTCAATATCCTTACAACGGCCTATAATGTCCTACGCCAGAGATTTTCGACGGGTGTGCTGCAGATTTTTTTTTTTTTACTTAGATTGTTCAACTTTATTTAATTTATAGCCTTGGAAGGTTTTTTTTTCTCACAAGAATTTTTAAAACATGTAACACCTGACTATTTAGTCAGGGGCACTGATTTCAAATTAAAAAATGACAATAGCCAACACAATAATAGCTGTCTGGTATGAATGAATCAAAATTATACCTTTATTTTTGTCAGATTGGCAAAAAATACATTTTTGATGTGCTGCCGAAGTTTCGTAATTTGTTTATGAGTGCCACGAGATGAAAATGGTTGAAAACCGCTGTCCATGCCCTGGCCAGTTTTGCTCAGTGGTTAGCATTGGCTTGCAAAGTGAAGGGTCTTGGGTTCGGTTCCCCGTCAAGAACACACACTTGGGTTGCAGTTTTGATTCATGGCTCCAGCCGAGGTTGTGCAGGAGGCAAGCAACTGATGTCTCTCTCTCTCCCCCTTCCTCCCTCCCTTCCACTCTATCTAAAAATCAGTGGAAAAATATCCTCAGGTGAGGATAAACAACAACAAAAAAAAGAGAGACAGATAATTGCTATCCTACGTTATATTGCTGCCTGTGTCCTATTTGACTTCATCTCCTGTCTTGCTTTGCTCTGGCCACCAGGACTGCCTTGATACTGGGAATGCTGTTCTCCCATAAAGACACATAATTCACTACCTTACTTCCTTTAGATCTTTCCTCAAATGTGTGGCTTTTTCAGTATTTTAAAACCACAATCCTGTATACCATTACTCAATTTTTCTCCAGAGTAGTTTCTACCTTCTGAAATAGTATGTATTTTGTTTATTTTACTTATTACCTGTTTTTCCTGCTAGAATGTAAGCTCCAAGAAGAAAATAATATTCTACTTTTATTTATTGCTAAAAGAGGGTCTAGAACATTCTGTCAGAGAGTAGGCACTCCAGTAGTGGCTGAATTGAATTCCTCTTTTTTAGCCTCTTACTTGACTTCCTAAAACTAGCTTTCAGGCCCATGACTCAAGGTTTAATTCGATGGCCCCTTTGATTCTTCTTGCTCTTTACTGAATCAGAACTACTATTTCACTGACAGTCATCTTAGAGTTGAGAATGGTATAGGGCTCTAGAACAGAGAATTGTGCAGAACTGCCCATTTCCAGTAGTAATCTTGAAAACTGATTTATTTAAAGAAATACTTTACAGCCTTGGCTGGTTTTGCTCAATGGTTAGAGCATCAGCCCGTGGACCACTGAGTCTCAGGTTAGATTCTGGTCAAGGACACGTATAGTATCTTGGCTGCGGTTTGTCCCTGGCCCTGGCCAGGTTGTGCAAGAGGCAACCAGTCAATGTGGCTCTATCACATCGATGTTTCTCTCTGTTTCTCTCTGTCTCTCTCTCTCCCTCCCACTCTACTTAATGATAAATAGAAAAATATCCTCAGGTGAGGAATAAAAAAACAAAAACAAATACTTTACAGCTAACTCTGGGTTTTAACTAAGTCCAAACCATCTATTGCATGTCTTTTGTTTCCTTTACAGATGACATTTCAAGCAATCTTTGCAATAATGAGACAACTATATACTATACTCCCCAGAGGCCTGACAGGAGTTAGTAAATTAGAGATATAGTCTTGACAGAGCTAATGATACGGGTTCAAATTTTTTAACTTCTATGTCTCAATTTTCTTTTAAATAGAAACTGTTCTGGCCCTAATACATAGTGTCTTATAGAGAAATTATCTGTGTACATACTTTCTTCCCACTGCTTTGGAAGATTGGGACTGTTCTATTTATCTCTATATATCACCTGCCATACACAATATTTAGTAAACAAATATATGCATACAGATTTTTAAGCATGAAATTACATATGTGGAATTACTTCAAAAAATATGGTGTAATATAAAAATACTGTTTCTTTTTACCAAAGAATGAGGCTTGATTCCCAGAAAAATGGGAGAAATTACAGCTTTTATTCCTGAGGAGAACATATTTATTTACTTAGTATAAAAAAAGCCATTCATTTTCCTCCATTCCCATTTACCAAAAACCACTGATTTATCTTTTAATTTAAAGAGCCTAAGTTTGGAACTCCAGTATCCTCCAGCATCCACATCCAATGATACCAAAGTGCATCACTGTTTTTGTCCATATGTCTCAGGTCCTTCCTTCTTATGTGTGTTTCTGTAGCCATGTTAATTTTAAATGAAGGGAATCATTAAATGTTACATTTTAATAAAAAGTGGTATATGAGCCTCTTACCAGTACATCATGCACCAATGCTTGATATGTCCAAGTATGGTGTAAAGGAGTTGCCAAATCTATGTTTCTGTCAACAAGGACTAATAGAGGCCTTTGGAAGCTGTAAATAATTAAAAAAATTATGTAAATGTCGATACCAATGTATACATCTAAATTTTTCTAATACTTTCCACTATATGTCATTTAGATATGAACATAAAGTATGACATTCCACAATACTTTGCTTTTAAAAAAACTGTCTAGTTCAGTCAGGCAAGTAATGCTTTGGACTACTTAGAGCCTGTTTATAATGCTGGATTATGTCTTACTTAGGGAACATTTTAAAAGAAAAAAAAACTATACAAATGCTTTTATAGAATAATTATTACAGTTATTAAAGTAAGAATACATTTCACATTTTTTGTTGTTGTTGTTAATCCTCACCAAGGATACTTTTCTATTGATTTTTAGACAGAGTGCGAGGGAGGGAGGGGAAAGGTGAGGGAGAAGAGAGAGAGAGAGAGAGAGAAAAACATCAATGTGAGAGAGATACACTGATTGGTTGTCTCCCACACGACCCTGACCAGGGCCTGGGACCAACCAGCAACTCAAGTACATGCTCTTGACTGGGAATTGAACCCACGACCCTTTGTTCTTCAGGCTGATGCTCCAACCTCTGAGCTATATTGGCCAAGGGCTATATTACACATTTTTTTGAAAAAGGAAAAGCCATTGTTAGCTTCAGAGAAAATAAAGATGATAGAAGCTAATAAATTTACACAAATGTTGGACAGTTTCATCAACTGCAAATTAGTTTTTTTCTGTCAACACAAATTCAAAAACACAGACTCTAGAGAAGAGCTTCACAAAACCTTATCTCATTATAATTATATAAAACAAAAACATCATGCCACAACGGTACCTAATTATATAATTATTCACTTACCAGACACTTCACATATTGTTTTACTGCATTATTACAATTTAGATATGAAATAGACTACATTTAAAAAACTGAAGCAGAAAGTCATTTGGTTACCATGTATCTTCAAAAGTGTAGAGATTTGCTTTAGAGGCACTACCATATCAGAAGTACATGTTAATTTTCAAAAGTCATTACTATCTGATTATGTTAATTAATTATATATAGTTTGTTCTGCAAGAGACCTCTGACCATTTCAGTAACTCACTCCACCCTCCTGGGTGAAAGGCAGTGAACTCTCCCTACTGCACTGATTGATTATAAGACTAGCAATAAAAATTAGGAGTGGCACCCTTATCACCTACTATCATTTATTATTTCAGAGGTAGGTGGAAGGAAGGCAAAGAAGGATCGACCATGGCAGGGTTTCTTAACTCAGCACTACTGACATTTGGGGCTGGATAATCCCTCATTATGGGGAGTTGTCTTATACATTGTAGGATGTTTCCAGTAGCATCAAACCAGTTGTAACAACCAAACATTTCTCCAGACATTACCAAATTCTCATTGAGAATCACTGGCCTACAACTAACTGGTTTCAAATGTATTTAACAACAGTCCATCAAGGCTGCTGACCCCTAATTACAATAATTAGACATGTATCCAATAAATTAAAAAATAAGATAGCTATATTATAATAATGTAAATTTTAAAAACATATCCAAATAAAACAGTCTTTATATTGGTAATATAAAGAGAGAACTATTAAACAGGATTTGACAGCATACTAATTGCTTCTGCTGCAATAAGCAAGTGAACATTTGATGTTTCTGCTCCATTTAATGAGAAACACTGTGAAAAATATTTAAGACCAGCAATAAAATCACTGAACATTAATACAATTTACAATAATATGGGAGGTTAGCCAGTTGAACGAACTATTAAAACACAATGTTAGCATTAACTCCAAATGGTAAGAATAGTACATAAGACTATAGAAGCCATCAAAATGGACTTGGAAGTCTATGGAAGGTTACCATGAAATGATTATTTCTAGAGGGCAATTATACTCTGAATATTAATTTATTTTCACAAGCTTCATTAATAATTCACCTAAAACTGGGGTAAAAATGAATTTTCCATAATACTGTCTCTTCCCTTGAAATAATTCTCAGCCATTTTTGTGAATTTATTTATTTCTTCACCCCAATACTGCCCGTTATTTTTAAAAATCAAATGTTAATTTACTATAATGTATAGATTTTAAAAAGTATTTCTAGTCAATAATAACTGAGCAGCCAGTAACTTTGACATTATCTACTCATGCTAGACATGCTAAGAAAGACAAAAATGCTTTACAAATTTAAGCTATTAGTATTTCAATATAAAAATAGAAACTAGTTAATAGGGAGAAATACATATAAACTTCACAAGTTTTTCACTTTTTTTTTCATTACCAAGAAGCTAGTTGAGGATTTAAAGAAAATGGCTTCTGACCTTCAAAGCCATATAAACAGAAAAATATTTCCAACAGATAAAAACGCAAAACAAAATTTCTAACAAAAGAAAGTAAATTAAATATTCCATCTGTATTTCAAAAACAATTTGAGTCAAAACCCTGATCCTGGTTACATTTTAAAAAAGGAACAAATTTCGTCCGGCCAGTGTGGCTCAGTGTCGACCCATGCACTGAGAGGTTGCCGGTTCAATTCTCAGTCAGGGCACATGCCCAGGTTGTGGGCCTGATCCCCAGTGGGGGGCATGCAATTGATGTTCTCTCTCATCAATGTTTCTATCTCTCTCCCTCTCTCTTTCTAAAATCAATACAGAAAAAAAAAAATTAAAAAAACAACAACAACAAATTTCAACCACAAGTGTAAGAGTATTCTCTTAGATAAAAAAGAAACCCCAAACTCTACAAATGTTTGATTTTTAAGTCCTGTAAGTATATTAACTAACATTATACCTGAATTGGCCAGCTCCAAGTGTGTCACCTGTAAAAAGACTGTTTCTTGCATCTCTTAGATTTTCCCTAAGTTTCTTGTCTAGTTTCTGGAAAAAAGCAAATTTAACATTAACTCTTAAAGAACAGTTTCACAGAACTTTATGTAGGGTTATATATAATGTATTCTTAGTGTCATAACTAAGACACTTGGAATTTCTTTACAAAAATAGCAAGTCTAAAATCTAAATATTTTAGCTTCTCCACTATTCAATATCATCATAACTTGGACTTGGAAAGATCAATGCCTCTTCTACTGTTACTCAGGCCTCATTTCATTAACAATCACTTTTCCTGGACTATTTATACTTTATGTATAGGAAATGCTTTGCAGTAATGACCCACCTTCTCAGCCCAAGCGTGACTCTGTTGTACCAAGGAAGGTGACTATGTAGTGGTGGCTACAAGAGGCTCCATAATAGACATGAAATATGTAAAAGAAAGCAGCCCTCCACCAGTCAGTGATTTATATGAGCTAATAAAACTCAAAAACGTTAGTGTATCTTCCTCCATCTTTCTATATCATTTACCCTCTTTCCTTTTCAGTAATTTCTCTAATCCTTTATTTACTTTTTAATTTTTACAGCATGCTCAATTTATACTGAATATTTTACTCCAATATAGTTGGGTAGCAAAATGCACCTTACCATTTTGAAAATGGTTATGACTATTAATAAACATTTGTTAAATATTGAATAATTAGAAGGATCAAACAGGTATAAAATACTATTTGGAAAAATAAGGCTGAAGGGTTAGAATAGCACACTGGAGGAAATCATTTTATTTTACTCTTTTACACAGAAGTACACTGATTACTTTTTATTTTTGGTGGAATCCTAATGTTATAAAATAAAAATATCTGCCTTTGGTACAATATATAACTCACAGCAATCATATACTTAAAATTAACAAAAACATTTGAGGTACTTATGAAAAACAAGTGACTCAGATATTATTTATCCCCAATAGATATTTGTATAAACTCACCACTGCCACCATTTCTGCTGCTGTTCCCCTGGAACATCTGATTATAGGAACAGCACCTATTGTAACAATAAATGTTAGCAATGATTTCCACTATTAATAATTAAAATGGATACTTACAAATTATATTAGCATCAAAAAATAACATATAATAGATATATACAATTTTAGGCTAACGAACATAAAAGGCTTTATAATCTCAAGTGTAAAAGCAAGGTATCAGAAACAAACCTTCTCATTTAAAAAGAAAATATTAGGACCTGCCCGGTGTGGATCAGTGGTTGAGCATCGACCCACGTACCAAGAGGTCACTGGTTCGATTCCCAGTCAAGGCACATGCCCAGGTTGTGGGCCCGATCCCCAGGGGGGAGCACGCAGGAGGTGGCCAATCAGTGTTCTCTCTCATTGATGTTTCTATCTCTCTCTCCCTCTCCCTTCCTCTCTATAAAATCAACAAAGAAAAACATATATATATAAAAATGAAACTCCTGGAGGTTTATTCATTATTTAAAAAACAAAACAGAAGAAAGAAAACATTAAGGAGTCAGAAAGACTTTGTATATAGTGTTGGCTAATCAACGTGACCAGATTTTTTCAATGGTTTCACTAAATCAGCATTTTGACTCTCTACAGACAGTTTCAAAGAGTAAGTTTACTCTCTACTCAGAGAGTTCACTTTAATTTCACTTAAGGGAAAAGAAAGAGAGTTTAGCTAATTTAGCAGTTTAGTATTGTTACTTTTTATTTTATAAATTAACAATAAAGGATTATAGTATCTTTCTGAAATACTAATTTTTTTTTTTTTTTTTTTATCCTCACCCGAGGACATTTTTCCATTTTTTGTTCAGATAGAGTGGGAGGGAGAGAGAGGAAAAGAGAGAGAGAGAGAGAAACATCGATGTGAAGGGACACATCGAGTGGCTGCCACCTGCACGACCAACCAGGGCCGGGGACAAACTGCAACCGAGGTACGTGCCCTTAGCGGGAACCGAACCCAGGTCTCTCTGGACCGCAGGCCGACGCTCCAACCGCTGAGCCAAACCGGCCAGGGCTCTGAAATACTAATTTAAAAGATAACATAAAACACCTCTTCACATAATTTAATTGGCTTCAATTCATTATCAAATCAACTTATTAGATTAGGCCTCTTAATTTATTACTCCACATTTTATCAAAGGCAAAAATTCTAAAATAAAATAAACAATTTCACTGAAAAGTTCAAAAAACAAACTTAGAACATTGTATTCTTTATATGCTGAAATTGTCGCATTTTAGATTCTATACAAAGCATGCTCAGTCAACTGCAGAAGTAAAAATATGGATCATTAGAAAATTTTAAACTTTGTTTTGTTCTGATGGCAAGTTATTCATGCATGTAATAAAAAAATTCAAATTTTAGCCATGTGCAACATTAACCTACTTGATTCCAAAACACTAAAATAATCCCCACTAAGAATTAGATATAGAGTATATAAGGTTATTTTCTATATATAGTCTAAATAAGTGCATGTGTGGAGTGCTATAAAAAACAAAAACAAGATATTCAAGAGTAACAGATTAAATTAGTTATTAAATAATTTACTTTGAAGAAATAACCAGAAAGACTTGAAAACTTACCTAGTGTAACAAAAAAGCAGAAGAGGCTGTCAACAATAGTATCCATAACAGTTTCCATTTCTGTGTCTGTGATATCTGGCCTGTTAATAGCTAAAGTGAAAACAGGTAAAGGAGAATATAATGTGACCAAAATGTATGCCTTATTTTTATTAAACTCTTAAAATTATTTCTAAACTCCTAATTAATGCTCAATTTGTTAACATATGTAATACTCACAAGTAAAATTTTTTATGCTTTAAACTTCACAAATATCCATTAAAAATTATAATACCTTAAAAGGATACCATCTTAATATCAGTAGTAATGAGTAGTATCAGTATTAAAGCAGGAACACGAAAAAAAGCCACCACATAAAACATACAAAGTTTTTGCCAGAGAAATAGAAAAAGAAACACTGTATTCCATAGTTTTATTCACAAACACTAGATGGCCTAAAGACACTACTGATCTTCAACTACTGCCAGAAAAGGACAATGCAAATCAATTATGACAAGACCAGCATGAAATGTCATTTTCTTTTTATTATGATTTATATTAAATTCTTTTCTGATCTACTAGATGGTACGTAAGTGGTTCCCAAACTTTAGTGGGTATAAGAATCACTCTAGGTATATGAAAGAGAAAGAATTTCTACCAAAGCTATTAAAAAAGAAATTCTTGACTCTTTTCCCTAGAGATTCAATTCAACAGATTTGAAATAATTCTAAGAAATATTCAATTTTTACAAGCACCTTAGGTGATTCTTGGAGCTTCGTTTTCAGAAACATTGTTGTGAAGACTTTCCTTGATAGTCAAAGACTTTACTTATTCCTCTTTCTCTCACAATACCTAAGCCCAGTGTTTGACAAGAAGATGCTCAGTAACTATTTGTTAAAAGATCACACTAAAATATTATCTATATATTACTTTTAATTTCCCAACATTCTTAAAGTGAAAAAATATTACATTTAATGACTTGTAATTAGCATGAGAGGAAGGCAGAATCCAATCGGATATATAAAAATATTTAAAGAAATACTTTGTCCATGCAGACAGAGAACATAAAAGTAATAAATAATTCAGCCAGGCAATACAGAATCTGTATGAAAAAATATGCTGTTACTTGGTGCAGCTGGCATTTTGGGCCGAACAATTTTCTGTGTGAGCATGGTTTACATACTGCAGAACATCAAGTATCCCTAGTCCCTGCCCACTAAATGCTAGCAGCAGCCCAGCCAGTTATGACAACTGGCACTTCTATACTTCCAAGTGCTCCCTTAAGAACCAATGAAAGTCTAGTCGTCATCAAACATCTCAATCCTTAAGTAGCAAATTAATGATTATTTCAATTAATTGGCCAATCACATCTACAGTCTGCAATTTTCTTTAAAATATATGACATAATCAATGTGCACACAATTTTAGTTAAGCAAGATGAATAAGTTACAGAAATCTGCTATACATTGTACCTATGGTCAACAATACTCTACTGTACACTTTATTATTATTTTTAATCTTCACCCGAGGACATTTTTGTGCCTATCCTCAGACAGAGTGGGAGGGAGAGAGGAAGGAAGAGAGAGACAGAAAGATCGATGTGTGAGAGACACAATGAGTGGCTGCCCATCCACAAGACCCCAACTGGGGTCGGGAACAAACTGCAATCGAGGTACGTGCCCTTAGCGGAAACCGAACCCGGGACTCTCTGGTCCATGGGCCGATGATCTAACCGCTGAACCAAACTGGCCAGGGCTATTGTACACTTGAAAATGTTGAGAGGAGATCTCAAGTGTTCTTACAAAAAAATCAACAAAACAACATAGACAATATAGTGTGTGTGTATGTGTGTGTGTGAATGAATGTCTGTTAATTTTAATCTATATCCCAGGAATGGTCAGTTTACCAAAATTGGAATACAAACTTCAGAGGTGGTTAGATACCATTTGCTTCAATACCAATACTCAATCCCACTACTTCGGAGTCTAACAACCTATATTTGAGAATGGCACTTATACTTCATTCTGTGACAGTACTACAGAAGCTGCTGATGACTCCTTCTTGTCTGATCTTGACAAACAGCAATATTAGCCAACTTTTTCTGAGTGTTAACCACATTGAGCCAAGTGGGCCAGGGCTATTACCTCCTTTTTATAGATATGGAACTGAAGCACATAGAAACAAAGTAACTTGTGTTCTTGTCCAAGGGTTAAAGTACTAGAAGATTAACTGAATCCTACTACTAAAATACAGTCTTATTTGCCATGAGTGAACCATGCGTGCAAGTTGCTGTGTGGTATCTAAAAAGGTAAAAAAAAACTGGTACTTCACTGAACTTACAAGTTTATTAAATAAATGTTGTTTATATGTGACAAAATTCAGTCTGAGACTTGTGTTCTTTGCGTGCTTTTAAAAATCTTATTCAGCTCTACTGCTGTACACAAAACTGGTTTTGGAGTGCATTAAACATTATTATTATTTTTTTTACAGTAACCATTCTTTTTCTTAACAATGTCAATATTCCTATTTTTACTTACCACGATATGAAACAAGCTCCTTATTTTGATTACATAAAACAAACATATCATCTTCCAAAGTAATAAAATTGAGATACTGATCAAAAACCTAGAAACAAAGAAAGGTTTACAAATCAATTTTCCAATATTTAAAGCACATCTAGTTTGATTTATTATACCAATGAAAAAAAATCACAATCATATTTAGTAGCTAAAAATGATACTATATAGCAAATTGCCTAACTGGGCAAGAATGGAGTTAATATAAAAAAGCAATAGAAATAAACTTTTGAGCCCTGGCTGGATAGCTCAGCTGATTAGAGCACTGTCCTGATATGTCAAGTTTGCAAGATTGATCCCAGTCAGGGCATATACAAGAATCAACCAATGAATGCATAACTAAGTAGAACAACAAATGGATGTTTCTTTCTCTCTCTCTCAAAGTAATAAAACAAACGAACAAACAAAAAAACCTTGGAGCAATAAATGATCAAGGAGGAGAGTAACATATTCAGAAAACAAAATTTATGAAGACAATTTTTAAAAAAATTATGGTTGGGATTGGAATGAATATCAATTTTGAGGAAAAGCACAATTAAAATTTTCATAGTCAATTTAACCATACTTTCCTAAGAAAGTCAGAGTAACTGTGTTTCTACCATGAACATTTATAAGTGGGGTGAAATTATACTAGTTCTTTAAAAGTGCAAATTAGGAGATAAATTAAGAAAACTAAAATTGTAATTGAAAAATAAAATTTATTTATTTATTTTTCCATTTTTTTTTGTTCAGGTAGAGTGGGAGGGAGAGAGAGGAACAGAGAGAGAGAGAAACATCGATGTGAAAGGGACACATCGAGTGGCTGCCACCAGCACGACTGACCAGAGCCGGGGACAAATTGCAACTGAGGTACACGCCCTTAGCGGGAACCGAACCCGGGTCTCTCAGGACCGCAGGCCGACGCTCTAACCGCTGAGCCAAACCGGCCAGGGCGAAAAATAAAATTTAAAAACTACTTGAAACATGTTAAACTCAGTTAAAGTGAAAACCATTCCTATTATTTTATATAAAATTAATAAATTCTGGAAGAGCAAGAACATTAAGACATAAGCCTCAAAAACCAATCAGAAATAGTAATAAACTATCTAAATCTATGCAAGAAGACTAGCTAAATCTATCAGTGAGAAAAATAGGAAGTACATGCATGTTTGTTTAGTCTTTTGTTTGCTCTATACCATGACCCAGGATTTCATTTATGTCTGTCTAAATTCAAGAAGCACAGGGTACAACAGGGTTATAATCGAGAATATTTTACATACTTATTTATAACTAAGCTGAACCTGTCATTATAATATAGAATTGCTGGCCTATTGTGATTTTCATCTTTCTTGTAATATAAAACATAGCTTTTTTGGATCCTCTTTCCAAAGTAAGAAAAGATCTAGAATATTGTGGTGACTATAATGATTATAGATCAAACAATGTCAGTATATTTTGAGTATAATTTATGACAACACAACTGTCAAACTATTTCTAAATTGTGTTAAAAAGATTATACAAATCCCAGCCTAAAACAAAACTGATTCAGCTTTTTATTTTTGTCTTTCAAATTCATTGAATAGGTTCCTTTCATTTGGTTTATTTGCTTAAGTCAAGTTGAAGATAATTTACATTCTTAGAACTCTTTCTAAAAGTACTGAGTCTGGCCCTGGCCGGTTTGGCTCAGCGGTTAGAGCGTTGACCTGTGCTCCAGAGAGATCCAGGTTCGGTTCCCGCTAAGGGCATGTACCTCGGTTACAGTTTGTCCCTGGCCCTGGTTGGGTCGTGCGGGTGGCAACCACTCGATGTGTCCTTTTCATGTTGATGTTTCTCTCTCTCACTCTGAGCAAAAAATGGAGAAATGTCCTCGGGTGAGGATTAACAAAAAAAAAACAGTACTGAGTCTGAATATTTCTTAGGTGGCTCTGATCCTTTAATTATTAGCCATCTCTATCTATTAACAGGTTTCAGAATATTACTATATTTTATATTAACAAAATGTCATTAGCCAACCAAAATCTCTTACCTTGGCTACCTGTGGTACTGCATTAGCTGCTAATGCTGCATTTGCAATATCTTCCAGTTTACTTCTTGAAATAGCAGAAATAAAATTTAAGTAATATGATTCATAGAGTTGATTCCGAAGATCCTACAAATACAATGAATAATTCAGTCTTACAGAATAGTATAAAAGATGATCGCAAGACCGGCCAATGTGGCTCAGTGGTTGAGCACAGACCCATGCATCAAGAGGTCGTAGGTTTAATTCCCGGTCAGGGCACATGCCCAGGTTGCAGGCCCAATCACCAGTGGGGGACATGCAGGAGGCGGCCAATCAATGTTCTCTCTTATCAATGTTTCTGGCTCTCTCTCTCTCCCTTCCTCCCTCTAAAAATCAATGAAGAAAAAAAAATATTTGAAAAAAAAAAAAAATCACAAAAATCTTTTAGATACTATAAGAGCACAGTTTTGAAGGGTAATATACACATTTAAAAGACAGATTATATAAAAATGACAGTCAAAAAAAGTATCCCAAGAGAATAAAGTTAGGGAGAAGTAAGTATTAATTGGTTATAAGACATAACTAATGTATACTTTAATAATTAAGTTATATTATCAACCAAGTCCTATTAATTACACTGTTACACTAAACTGCTTTGAAATAGCATGTATGCATTTTTATTAGAAATACCCAGATGTGGCTACCTCATACAGTGATGTGCTTATTATATTTAGCAGAAGACACCACCATCTACTGCTCTAAACAAGTGATAACACAACAAATACTTCTATCACCATGAAGACATAATTCCAATGACCAATTTCAGAAGTATTCCTTCTCAATCACCCAAGGAAAATTCACTCAAGGACCGAGAACTGAGAGGACTGAGAAAACAAGTACATATGCTGAGGATATGGAGAGCCATGTTTCTTATTGTCAGAGAAAGAAGTTATAAACTTGTAAAGGAAAAAAGGAAAAACCAGAATGAATCCTGTATTCTAAACTGAAACAGTTTTGGAGGTTATCTATCTGTAGAGAGATAAGTAGGAAGATTTATAGAATTATATGTAGATATAAGTGTGTGTATCGGTACACACATATATTTCTCAGCTCTGCTCATTGAGAGGGGCTAAGAACTGTGACATCCTTTTAACAATGTCCAGATGGTAACCTCCAAATGCTATTCTCAACAAAAATCAACCAGGACTCCTTAGACAAATGGCTGAATCTTGGGTTGCGACAGAGAATGTACAAGATCAGAACTGGAACATCTTATTGTGCCAGAAAAGTAAGGAAATGGTCAAAGAATGATGGAGACATTTCAAAGGGTACAGAAGTTGAGCAAGGTTGCAGAATACAATCTCAATATATAAAAGTCAAGGGGGTATCTGTACACTTGCAATCTGCGATCCTAAAAATGAAATAATAATTTTAAAAAATTCCATTCATGATAGCATTAAAAATATAAAAAATAAATTTAGCATAAGTGTAAAACTTATATTCTACACACTATATAATATTACTGAAAAAAATTAAAGATCAAAAGGAATGAAAGGGAGCCCCACGGGGCAGCAGCACTCCCCAGCCGCTAGTGGCGGGACCTGGGCTCCACAGAGGCCTGTGCAGTCCAGCAGCCCACAAGAGCAGTGGGAAGCTGGAGCCCGAGAGAGACTGGTGTGATCCAGCTAAGCACCCGCGGGACATTCAGGGTGCTGATAGGGCTTAGCGACCCAGCAGGGACTGTGCGATCTAGTTACGCGTGGGACATGCAGGGTGCTGAAGCACCAGAGAAGACTCTGCGACCCGGCAGGGACTGCACAATCTAGTTACCCATGGGGCCTGTGGGGTGCTGAAGCACCAGAGAGGCCTGCGCGACCCAGCAGGGACGGTGCCATCCAGTTACCCATGGGACCTCCAGGGTGCTGAAGCACCAGAGAGGGCTGTGCGACCCAGCAGTCCACAAAATAGGCATAGAGCTGGGTCCCCAAAGGGACTGTGCAATCCAGTTACCCACAAGACCTGCAGGGTGCGGGGGCATCAGAAAGGCCTGCGCAATCCAGCAGTGCACAAGATAGGAGTAGAGGATGTGAAAATGGAGGCGGAATGAATAGAAGCTACACAGACAATCTTCCAGGACCAAATGGGAAATACAACTAAAATACAGACAAAACCTTGGAAAAAGGCAACAAAAAAGCAGCAAGACAGGACCATACAACCAGGGACACTGGTAGGATCTACGGAGGCACGAGAGAGTGGCGGGCTGGGAGCCCATGGACAACAGCAGTCTTAGCTGTGAGTAGCGCCTTTGGGGAATAAAGACCAAGCCCGCTCCACAGCACAGAGAGCCAGGACAGAGTGCTAAAATAGCCAAAGCCACTCACCTGGGGGCTACAGCAGAGGGAAGGCAGACTGGGCTGGAACTCTGGGGGGACACCCGGGATTTGGAGGGCACTCAGAGTTTTTGCTGAGTTGTGGCCACAAAGGACGGTGGCCAATTTGCTCCTTCCCAGAGCTGAGGGGAAAAGCAACAGCCCACACCCTCGGAGTTTCAGTCTTCCTCAGGTGAGGAAAAGAAATGCAAATTGAGGCTCATTAATAACCAGCATTTATCCACCCTCTCAAAATCCAGAACACCAGGGCTACATTCCAAGGCAGTGAGTAACTGAGACTACTAGCCACCAGGAAAAAGCTAGAGGATAACTGAACCTTTCCTGGGCTTGCAAATCTACCCAGGAAAGTAAGACTTGACAGTGGTGTTTAATGTGGGCCCACCCAGGCTCATCCAAACCCAGCAGAGGGAGCCACAAACATCAGAACACCAACACCCACAGGGAAAATTTGGAGGGCTCCAAAACCCACTGAGATAGCCAAAATGGTGAAACAAAGAAACAAATCCCAAATGAAAGAACAAGAGAACTCTATCGAACATGAGATAAATGAAATACAGCTAAGCAAATTATCACAGGTAGAGTGCAGAGCCATGATCTTGAGGAAGCTCAATGCATTAGTAAGGACATCAGCACCATGAGTAAAGATACAGAAACACTGAAAACCAACCAAGTGGAAATGAAGAATGACATAGCAGAAATTAAGAACACATTGGAAGGACTAACCAGCAGAGTGGAGGAAGCTGAGGACTGGATCAGTGAATTAGAAGACAGAGTAGGAAAAAAATCAACCAATCAGAAAACCAAAAGGAAAAAACAATGAAAAAACAGGAAGACAGCTAAAGAGAACTGTGGGACAACTGAAAAAGGTAATAACATTCGCATCATAGGAGTCCCCAAAGAGGAAGAAAATGGTCAAGGGTTAGAGAATGTATTTGAAGAAATAGTGACAGAAAACTTCCCTAACTTGGTGAAGGAAGAAGGCATTCAAGTTCAAGAAGCACAGAGAGCCCCAAGTAAGAAGAATCCAAACAGGCCCATGCCAAGACACATAGTAATTAAAATGCCAAAAATTAAAGACAAAGAGAGAATCCTAAAGGCAGCAAATAATGAGCAACAGGTTACCTACAAAGGAAACCCCATAAGGCTCTTAGCTGACTTCTCAACAGAAACACTACAGGCCAGAAGGGAGTGGCATGAAGTAATCAAGGTCATGAAAAACAAGGATCTGAATCCAAGACTACTCTATCCAGCAAGGCTATCATTCAAAATAGAAGGTCAAATAAAGAGCTTTCCAGACAAAAAAAGGCTAAGGGAATACATTAGTTCCAAACCAGCACTGCAAGAAATATTAAAAGGACTGCTGTAATTAGTGGAAGAAAAATAGAACCACACTAAACAAAAATGGCAATAAATAAGTACATATCAATTATCACCTTAAATGTGAATGGTTTGATTGTGCCGATAAAAAGACACAGGGTAGCCCTGGCCAGTTTGGCTCAGCAGTTAGAGCGTTGGCCTGCGGTCCGGAGAGACCCGGGTTTGGTTCCCGCTAAGGGCACGTACTTCGGTTGCAGTTTGTCCCTGGCCCTGGTTGGTCGTGCAGGTGGCAGCCACTCGATGTGTCCCTTCACGTCAATGTTTCTCACTCCCTTCCTCTCTCTCCCTCCCACTCTATCTGTACAAAAAAATGGAAAAATATCCTCGGGGGAGGATTAAAAAAAAAAGACACAGGGTAGCTGAGTGGATAAGAAAGCATGACTCACATATATGTTGTTTACAAGAGACCCACGTCATAACAAATGACTCAAATAGGTTGAAAGTAAAGGGATGGAAAAAAATTTTCTAAACAAACGGAAAGCAAAAAAAAGCTGGGGTAGCAATACTCACATCTGATAAAGTAGATTTCAAAATGAAGGTCATAACTAGACACAAAGAAGGCCACTACATAATAATGAAAGGATCCATCCAACAGGAAGATATAACCTTGGTAAACATATATACACCCAATATAGGAGCACCAACATATATTAAAAATCTTTTGGAGGACTTCAAAGGAGAAATCAACAACAATACATTCATAGCAGAGGACTTCAACACCCTGCCGACATCACTGGACAGATCTTCTAGACAAAAAATTAACAAGGAAACACAGACTCTAAATGAAGCACTAGATCAAATGGATTTAATAGATATCTACAGAGGATTACACCCCAAAACTGCAGAAATCACATTCTTCTCAAGTGCACATGATTCTCAAAGATAAACCACATGTTAGGGCACAAACTAAGTCTCTACAGGTTCAAGAAAATTGAAATCATATCAAGCATCTTCTCAGATCACAATGGCATGCAACTAGAAATCAATTGCAACAAGAACATGCAAAGACGTTTGAAAACATGGAGGCTAAACAGCATGTTATTGAACAATGAATGGGTTACCATGGAGATCAAGGAAGAAATTAAAAACTTCCTGGAAACCAATGAAAATGAACACACAACTACACAAAATCTATGGGATGTAGTGAAAGCAGTTCTGAGAGGGAAATTCATAGCACTACAGGCCTACCTCAAGAAACAAGAAAAATTTCTAATAGACAATCTAACCTCACAACTTAAAGAACTAGAAAGCAAACAAAAAGAAAACCCCAGAGCAAGTAGAAGGAAATAGTAAAGATCAGAGCAGAAATAAAAGACATGGAGACCAAAAAAACAATTCAAAGGATCAATGAAATAAAGAGCTGGTTCTTTGAAAAGATAAACAAGATTGATGGACCCTTAGCTAGACTCACCAAGAAACAAAGAGAGAGAACCGAAATACACAAATCAGAAATGAAAGAGGAGAAATAACTGATACCACAGAAATACAAAGAATCGTTAACAAATATCATGAACAATGATATGGCAACAAATTCGACAATCTAAGCGAAATGCACAAATTTCTAGAAACACACAGTCTCCCGAATATGAACCGGAAGAGATAGAAAACTTGAACAGACCTTTAACAACGAAAGAAATTGAAGATGTAAGCAAGACTCCCACCAAACAAAAGCCCAGGCCTGGACGGCTTCACAGGGGAATTTTACCAAACATTCAAAGAAGAACTAACACCCATTATCTTCAAACTATTTTAAAAAATCCAAGAAGAAGGAAGACTTCCAAACTCGTTTTATGAGGCCAGCATAATTCTAATTCCAAAACCACAAAAAGACACTACAAAAAAAGGAAAACTACAGACCAATATCCCTGATGAACAGATGCCAAAAATCCTGAAAAAAATACTAGCAAATCGAATCCAGCAATATATCAAAAAAAATTATTCACCATGACCAAGTGGGATTTATCCCAGGGATGTAAGAATGGTACAATATTTGCAAATCAATAAATGTGATACACCACATAAGCAAAATGAAAGATAAATATCACATGATCATATCAATAGACGTTGAAAAAGCATTCGACAAAATCTAGCACCCATTTCTAATAAAAATGCTCAGCAATGTGGAAATAGAGAGATCATATCTCGATATAATAAAGGCCATATATGAAAGACCTACAGCCAACATCATACTCAAAGGACAAAAATTAAAAGCATTTCCCTTAAGAACAGGAACAAGACAGGGATGCCCACTTTCGCCACTTTTATTTAACATAGTACTGGAAGTCTTTGCCACAGCCATCAGCCAGGAAAAAAAAAATAAAAGGGATCCAAATAGGAAAAAAGGAAGTGAAACTGGCATTATTCACAGATGACATGATAATATACTTAGAAAACTGCAGACTCCATCAAAAATCTACTACTTAATAAATGAATTTGGCAAAGTTAGAAGGATACAAAATTAACGTCAAGAAGTTGATGGCATTCTTATACACCAATGATGAATTCACATAAAGAGAAACCAGAAAAACAATCCCATTTACCATCACAGCAAAAAAATTAAGATATCTAGGAATAAACTTAACCAAAGAAAGAACCTATTCGCAGAAAACTACAGGTCACTGAAAAAGAAATAAAGGAAGATATAAAAAAGTGGAAGCACATACCTTGTTCATGGATTGGAAGAATTAACATCATTAAAATATCCATATTACCCAAAGCAATCTATAGATTTAATTAACATCATTAAAATATCCATATTACCCAAAGCAATCTATAGATTTAATGCAATCCCCATCAAAATATCAACAACATACTTCACAGAACTAGACATACTTCAAAAGTTCATATGGAACCAAAAAAGACCTCGAATAGCCACAGCAATCTTGAAAAAGAAGAATCAAGTTGGAGGGATCACAATACCAGATTTCAGGTTATACTACAAAGCCACTATAATCAAAACAGCCTGATACTGGCATAAGAACAGGCACATAGATTAATGGAACAGAATAGAGAACCCAGAAATGGACCCAAGACAATATGCTCAATTAATATTTGACACAAGGGGCAAGAGTATACAGTGGAGTAAAGACAGCCTCTTTAATAAATGGTGTTGGGAAAATTGGACAGCTACATGCAAAAAAATGACACTGGACCATCAACTTATACCATACACAAGAATAAACTCAAAATGGATAAAAGACTTAAGTGTGACTCATGAATCCATAAAAATCCTAGAAGAAAATGTAGGCAACCAAATTTCAGACATCATATGCAGCAGAATTTTCACTGATACATCACCTAAGGCAACAGAAACAAAGGAAAAAATGAACACATGGGACTACATCAAACTCAAAAGCTTCTGCACAGCAAAAATACAATCATCACAATGGAAAGGCAACCCACTGTATGGGAGAGCATAACTGCCAATGATACATCAGGTAAAAGGTTAATTTCCAATATATATAGAGTGCTCATACAACTCAACAAAAGGAAAACAAAGAACCCTATTAAAGAATGGGCAAAGGAACTAAATAGACACCTCTCTAAACAGGACATACAAATGGCTAAGAGACATATGAAGAAATGCTCAACATCACTAATCATCAGAGAGATGCAAATTAAAACAACAATGAGGTATCACCTCACACCTGTCAGAATGGTTCCCATCAACAAATGATCAAACAACAAGTGTTGGCGAGTGGAGAAACAAGTGGAGAAAAAGGGACTCTAGTACACTGCTGGTGGGAATGCAGACTGGTGCAGCTGCTATGGACACAATATGGTGTTACCTCAAAAAATTAAAAATTGAACTTCCATTTGACCCAGTGATCCCACTTCTAGGAATATACCCTAAGAAGCCTGAAACGCCAATCAGAAAGAATATATGTACCCCCATGTTCATAGCAGCACTATTTACAATAGCTAAGATCTGGAAACAGCCCAAATGTCCACCAGTAGACGAATGGATAAAAAGGCTGTGGTACATATACACAATGGAGTACTATGCAGCTGTAAGAAAGAAAGATCTCTTATCCTTTGAGACGACACAGAGGGACCTGGAAAGTATTATCCTAAGTGAAACAAGTCAAGCAGAAAAAGACAAATACCACATGATCTCACTTATTTGTGGAATATAATGATCTTAACACTCCGAGTAATAGGGTAGACCCAGAGACGTTGGAAGTAGGGTACAGACTGACAACCCTCAGAAGAGGAGGTGATGGGGGGGAGGGAATAAATAAACCACAGAACTTATATGCATGTATGCATAACCAATGGACATGGACAACAAAGCCGGGGACGGGGCAGGGGAGATGGGGAGGAGGGTGTCAATGGGGTAAAAATGGAAAAACATCTGTAACAAAAATAAAATTAAAAAAAAATAATAAAATAAAAAAATAAAGAAAAGGAAAGAGATTGATAAATTGTACCTCTTTTAAAAATGACATAGTTGGGTTTATGCAGGGTAAAAAGAGAAAGCCAGGCATCATTAACTATATAGGACACAAAATACGTGATCTTCAATAACAATTTAATTAGTTAAATTCAATAACAACTTCATTCGACAGTAAATAATAAGTAAAGATGCTCGTCATCTGTGGCAAACACTGTTAGCTACCTATCCAATATCCATTTCCCCCCTTTTCCTTGCTAAAAAAATCCAGATATCGTTTGGTGTGGAAATACACTCACCTAAACGTTAACTTTCATAGCCTCCTTTGAAGGTAATTCTACCCAGTGAGGCATAAATGAAAGTCTTCTGGGAACGCTTAGCGTTCCTGATCTCAATGAACAGCCGGGGTTGGCATATCCATTTCCCCCTTGCTCTTGCCTCGAGTGAAGATGTGATGCTACAGCTGCAGGTGCCACAATGAACCCACGAAGCAACAAGCAAGACAATGACAACAACAAACTCAAGATAACAGATCAGAAAGACAGAAGGAGACTGAGTCTTTCGATTACCTTACAGAGCTCCTGCACTAGCTTGGACTTCCTATTTATAGGATTCCTATTATCTTAGAAAAATAAAATCCAATTTTTAAAGCTGTACAGTTAGGTTTTCTGTTTTTGTTTGTTTGGTTGGTTTTGTTTTTTAAGCTAGACTCTGTTAATATAATGCTTCTTCAGCCAAATAAATAATTTTAATCTGTCAGGTTGGTGTTTAAATTTCAAACATAGTAATCAGAGTGGAGAAATGAGTAAGGGAATTTCTTATTTTTCAGACTGGACATCTAAGAATATTTTTTTTAAATCTGTTTTTACATTCAAGAATCAGGAAAATAAGAACTCACATTACCTGGCACATTCTGTCAATATTTTCTTCAGTTGGCATTACAAAATACACTGCAGGAACATCTGGAATAGGATCTCGATCTGAGTGCAAAAGCCTAGAAGACATAAAGAACACAAAACTCACTTTTTGCATAGTCACTTACCTAAAGATAGCTTAAAACAGTATTTCTCAAACTAGGAGGTCATTAGTTCAAGAACAATAACCAGAACTCTAAAAGCTCTTGCTGCAGTGATTCATTTAACCCAGCTCTCTCCTTTTATCAGTGTTACTATTTAAGTAGTTAGATCCTAATCTCCTTAGTCTTTATTTCTTCTACTTCAATTGCCCTACTTTTTTTTTTTTATCCTCACCCGAGGACATTTTTGTATTTCTCTTCAGATAGAGCAGGAGGGTGAGAGGGAGGAAGAGAGAGAGAGAAACACTGATGTGAGAGAGGCAAATCGAGTGGCTGCCATCCACACGACCCCGGCCGGAGTCAGGGACAAACTGCAACTGAGGTACGTGCCCTTAGCAGGAACTGAACCTGGGACTCTCTGGTCTACAGGCCGATGCTCTAACTGCTGAGCCAAACCGGCCAGGGCCAATTGCCCTACTTTTAATACCTCTTGTAATAATGTTCTTGAAAGAGAACTAAAGCACATTCAAAATCAATTTTATTCCCAGTTTTCATAGAAAAATGGTTGGGGAAGGTGAGTAGAAGGAAAATGAAGCTCTCTAAGAGAGAAAAAACAGAAAACTGAAAGTCTTTAGAAACTATAAAAAAATTCATCATAAATAAAATCAAATATATTTTTTAAATGAAAGGTATATAAATGCTTCCTTAAAGCTTTAAGAAAATTTATTTTTTTGTATTTATTGCTTCATAACAGAATGCATAAGAGATCTTCTAAGCACTCTAGTATTTTTATCACTTGATAATTTTTTTTTACAATCCAGGGAGTATATTTACTCAAATATCCAATATCAAATCACAAAATGTCTTTATTGTTCATTGTAAGACTTTTAGGAAATATAACTAACATTTCTATAATATTTTGTCATTATCCGTATATAAGCAATACTTTATGTACAATCTCCTATATATATTCTTCTATCTATAATATTTTAGTCATTCTTCTATAAAGGAGAGTGAAAGAGGCATATGCAATTTATTAAACATCTAAGAAGCAATATAATCAAATAAATTTAGTACTTAAGAAGACTATATAGATAGAGCCTCCTATGGTGATTAAAAGTTATTATTTCATAGTTACTTAAAAATTTCATACTCATGGTAAACTAACTTAGATATTCATCTTTTTAAAAGTATATTTAAGCCTAGCTGGTGTGTATCAGTGATTGGGTGTCGACCTATGCACCAAGAGGTTGCCGGTTCGATTCCCAGTCAGGGCACATGCCCCGGTTGTGGGCCCAATCCCCAGTGGGGGGCATGCAGGAGGAGTCCAGTCAATGTTCTCTCTCATCGATGTTTCTATCTCTGTTTCTCTCTCTCTCTAAAATAAAGGAAAAAAAATAAATTAAATAAAAGTATATTTAAGTTAAATAAATAAAAAATTTTCAGAGCTGGAAGAGACCTCAAGACAACCAGTTCTTTTTCTTCACGTAAGAGGGTAAACCAGTCTTTAGGAAAAGATATAAGAGAAAAACATTTAAATTTTGGTATTGGAAAGCCTTAGACTAAGGATTATTTTTAACTTCAGAAGGGATGAATAAAAGAAGATAAAAAAAGCTGTTCTATACAAGTACTCTTAACATTATTTTCTCTATAAATATCCCTTAATAATTGATTTTAGAGTGGCCAAAGAAATCTGTAACAAGTATCTGAAAACAAATGCCATCAGTAGAAATACGTTAAAACTCACAGGTGCAGAGTGATTCCCATGTCTCTCAGTTCCTTCACAGATAGCAGAGGAGAGATGATATCTTGGCCAAATCTGTCATAAATGAGCACCTAGTAAAAAATTGTGTTTTTTAAGCATCATTATCAGTGAACAGTCAATAGAGAACCCATACTGAGACAATGCTGAGATATGTTTTATTTTAATAAATCAAATATATGGAATTTTTATATATACCCCAATTTAATATATTCTATTATTTTCACCAAAATGTCCATTCATGCAGTAATCCATTCTTAAAAACATTACTAATTAGGCTAAAATAAATTGATAATTACATAAATTTCTTTTTATGGACTACTTTTTCTAGGTTAAAAAATATATTAGAGAACTTCTAGTCAAGATGGTAGAGAAGGTAAATGCTATGCTTTCCTCCTCCAACAACCACATCAAAATTACAACTAAACTACAGAACAATCACTGTTGAGAACCACCTGAAGACTAGCTGAACAGAATTCCTATAACTAAGGACATAAAGAAGCCATGTGGAGACTGGCAGGAGGGGTGGAGATGTGGTACAGACTGGTCCCACACCCACATGTGGCAGTTAAGAATAAGGAGGGATATCTTGGCTGTGGAGGTACTCCTTGAAGAACGAGGGATCCCAGCCCATGGCACCAGTGATAGGAAGAAGAGTCCCCAAAACATCTGGCTGTGAAAACCAGCAGGGATTGGGTTCAAGCAAGGGAGGGCGGAGCCCAGGGGGTTGCTGCTGTAGACCTAGGCACTGCAGTCTTAAAGGGCCCGAAACAGTCTTATTCACTTACAAACTCACTCTGGGCCCCAGCACAGAGTAGCAGCTTGAAAAGCACCAGGGACATAGTGGGAGGAAATGAATGATCTGGATTCAGGGTGAGGGCCGCAGGGGCAGCTCTCCCTGGGACCAAACTGCTGGCAGGTGCCATTATTCCTTTGCTGAGCTCATCCCCCCAACCAGCCTGCAGGTACAGGTGGGAACCAAATCTGAGTCTCTATCAAACTGGACTCACCCTGGTGCTTCCCTGAAAACGTGCCCTACTCAACTCATGCACCAGCCCAAACCTCTTTTAGCAGCTATTCCTCACAAGCCATCGACCTTGGCACACGTCTTGGACTTTACTAAAATCTCTCCAAGTCCACAATCTCTAAACAAGCAGTGGATGGCCTTAGTATACCCTGCACCTCTTCCTAAGTAGCCCCAGGCATGAGTGGCAGTTGGACTCAGTTTGCAGCATAGACTTTCCCAGGCACCTCCAAATCCAGTACAGGCTGCAAACAACCACAGATCATTGTAATTCCTACTCAGTGGCCCTGGCCAGGCACAGGCATTGGCTGACCTGGAAGTGCATGGGAGCCCCTCCCAAGAGGCCCCAGAAGCAACACACCCAGTGGCCAGCTTCGGACCACAACAGAGCACTACCAAATTAGCTCCACAAATGACACACCTAAAAAGTGGACTTAGTAGGCACCAGAACCATGATACAATGAATCCCACTCCATGGGGTCAACCCCACACTACAGCTCGTCCATTGTAATCATGGCCAATCCTCACATCCAGCAGTCAGCCTGAGGGTCAATCCTACCCACTCATGTGCAAACAGCAATCAAGGCTCAACTACAAAAGAAGGGTGCATACAACCCACACAAGACACACCCCTGGAGCACCCAGCTCAGGTGACCTGAGAGTCTGCACCACCGGGCCCCACTCTTGTCATCTACTACAAGACACCTATCACAGAAGGCCATACTGCCAAGACTGGGAGACATAGCAGATATATCTAGTGCCTAGAAATAAACACAGGGAATCAGTCAAAATGAGAAGAAAAGAAACATGTCCCTAATGAAAGACAAGGACATAACTCCAGAAAAAGAATTAAACAAAATGGAGGCAAACAATTAGCCAGAAACAGAGTTCAAAACACTGGTTATAAGGATATTCAATGATCTCAGGGGAAGAATAGATGAAATCAGCAAGAACTTACCCAAAGAGATAGAAACCACAGAAAGAAACAATGAAGAATACAATAACTGAAATGAAGAACACATTACATGGAATCAACGGCAGATTAGATGAGGCAGAGAACTGAACCAGTGGTTTGGAACACATGGTAGCAGAAAACACCCAATAAAAACAGCAAAAAGAAAAAAAGACAGTTTAAGGGACATCTGGGACAACTTCAAGCCTAACAACATTTGGTACCAGAATGAGAAGAGAAAGAGCAAGGGATTAAAAACCTATTTGAAGAAATAATGACTGTAAACTTCCCTAACCTGGTGAAGAAAATAGACATACAATTACAGGAAGAGCAGAGAGTCAAAAACAAGGTGAATCCACGGAGGCCCATACCAAGACACATCATAATTAAAATGCCAAAGGTTAAAGACAAAGAGAAAGTCTTAAAAGCAGCAAGAGAAAAGCAGTTTATTACCCGTAAGGGAGCTCCCATAAGACTGTCAGCTGATTTCTCAACAGAAATATTTCAGGCCAGGAGGGAGTGGCACAAACTAATCAAGGTAATGAAAAGCAAGGATCTGTGACCAAAATTACCCAGCAAGGCTGTCATTTAAAATTGAAGGAGACACAAAGATCTTTCCAGACAAGAAAAAGCTAAAGGAGTTCATCACCACTAAACCAGTATTACAAGAAATGTGAAAGGGACTTATTTAAGACAAAGGAAGAGAAAAAAAAAAGATAAAAAATTATGAATAATAAAATGGCACTAATGACTTGTCAATCAATAATTACTTTAAATGTGCATAGATTAAGTGCTCCAAAGGACATAAGGTGGCTGAATGAAAGAGAAAACAAGACCTATACATATGTTGCCTAAAAGAGATCCACTTCAGTGATTTGGAACACAAGGTAGCAGAAAACACCCAATAAAGACACACAGACTGAAAATAAAGGGATGGAAAAGAATATTTCATGATAATGAAAATGAAAGAAAGCTGGGGTAGCAATACCTCTATCAGATAAGAGAGACTTTTAAAAAAAGGTCATAGAGACAAAGAAGGACGTTTCATATATAATGGCTTAGATATGGAAGCAACCTAAGTGTCCATCAACAGGCAACTGGATCAAGAAGCTGTGGTACATATATATAATAAAATATGATTCAGTCATAATAAAGAATGAAATATTACCATTTGCAACAACACTGATGGACCTAGAGGCATCATGATAACTTAAATAAGTCAGACAGAGGAAGATTTTATTTGCATGTGAAGTCTAAAAAATAAAATAAATGAACAATCAAAACAGAAATAGCCCTGACTGGTTTGGCTCAGCGGTTAGAGCGTTGACCTGTGGTCCAGAGAGACCTGGGTTTGGTTCCCACTAAGGGTACGTACCTCGGTTGTAGTTTGTCCCCGGCCCTGGTTGGGTTGTGTGGGTGGCAACCACTTGATGTGTCCCTTTCACATCGATGTTTCTCTCTCTCTCTCTCCCTCCCACTCTATCTGAACAAAAATGGAGAAATGTCCTCGGCTGAGGATAAAAAATATATAAATAAATAAACAAACAAAAAAACAGAAATAAACTCATAGATACAGAAAACAAACTAATGTTGCCAGACGAAAGGGGAGTCAGGGGGCTGGGTAAATAAGTTGGAGGGATTAAGTAGTACAGATTGACAATAAGAAAACAGTCATGGGCATAGCTCATGAACACAGACAACAGTGTGGTGAAGGCCAGGGAGGGGTGGCGGGGGCTAGGTGGAGGTGGGCAAAGGGAAGGGGAAATAGGGCCATCTGTAATAATGTCAACAATAACAACAAAAATTGTAAAATTAAAAAACAGTAAACAGTCATGGGGATGTAAAGTACAACATAGGGAATAGTCAATAATACATATATGTATGTGTGTACACACACACACACACACACACACACATATTTTAATCCTTACCTAAGGATATTTTTCTATTTATCTTCTGATAGAGTGGGAGAGAAAGAGAGAGAGAGAGAAACATCGACGTGAGAGGAACACATCAACTGGTTGCCTCCTGCACGACCCCGACCAGGGCAGGGGACAAACCGTAATCGAGGTACGTACCCTTGGCCAGAATCAAACTTGCAACTCATTGGTCTGCAGGCTGATGCTCTACCACTGAACCAAACCAGCCAGGGCAATAGTCAATAATAACTTAACAAACATGTATGGTTCCAGGTGGTTAGTACACTTAGGGCGGAGGTCACTTCTTAAGTTACATAAATGTCTAACTACTATATTTTACGCCTGAAACTAATGTAAAGTTGAATGTCAACTAAAATTGAAAAAAAATACTAGAGACTATAAAATCTTTATCTTAAGCTATAATAAAGGACTTCTGAACAAAAAATGGAGAAATGTCCTCAGGTGAGGACATTTGAATACGAGAGACTAAAAATACTAGAGACTACAAAATCTTTATCTTAAGCTATAATAAAGGACTTCTGAACACACAGCAAACTCACATATGCTCCCTTACTCAGTTCATATATATCCTTTCTAAAAAGAGAAAAGTAAATATTAGGCACTCTCAACACTAATGTGTAACAAGTTCCAAGACTGTAAATAAAATTTAGTAATTTAAACATCTCAGGTTAATAAGAAACTCATTTAAAAAATTAAGCCCCTAAAGAGTACCTGATTGCCTTATTCTGTCAACATGCACTTCCTCACATTCTAAAAGTATCAAAACAGCCCTGGCCGGTTTGGCTCTGTAGTTAGAGCATTGATCCATGGACCAGAGAGTCCCAGGTTCGGCTCCTGCATGTACCTTGGTTGCGGTTTGTCCCCGGTCCCGGTTGGGGTCGTGTGGGTGGCAATCACTCGATGTGTCTCTCTCACATCAATGTTTCTCTCTCTCTCTCTTCCTCCCATCCTCTCTCCCTCCTGCTCTATCTGAAGATAAATGCCAAAAAAAAAAAAAGGTCCTCAGGTGAGAAGGAAAAAAAAATAGAGGTATCAAAACAAATGAGGAGTGGTAAGAATTCTAACTCAAAATTAGTTTTAGAATTAAGGCAAATAAATGAGACACGTCCACTAGTGTTTCTCACAACTACCTTACTAACTCTTTATGGAGTAATAAACTGCTAATGAAAGAATGAAACATTCAGTCATAAAAACATGGTTTTCTTGCCCTAGCTGGTTTGGCTCAGCGGTTAGAGCATCGGCCTGTGGTCCAAAGAGACCTGGGTCGGTTCCTGCTAAGAGCATGTACCTCGGTTGCAGTTTGTCCCCGGCCCTGGTTGGTCGTGCAGCCACTCGATGTGTCCCTTTCACGTCAATGTTTCTCTCTCTCTCCCTCCCACTCTATCTGAACAAAAAAAGGAAAAATGTCCTCGGGTAAGGATCAAAATAAACATGGTTTTCTTGAATGCCACTATTTCCTTTAGAAAAGCCAAAAATCTTCCTGCTTTAGTTATGATGTTGTATCCCTCAAAAGCCGTCCCTCCTTAAATCTCAATATATCTTGTGATGCAGAGATAGATATCTATACCTAAAAATACTGAAGTTATGTAATTTAAAAGCTCAATATAGACTTTAGAAACAATAAACAAAGTATACTTTATGCGAGGGACAATAAGATGCCCATAAATAAAGAGAAAAGAGGGAGGAAATTAGGGGACATGCTGAAGCTTAAACTATGAATTCAATATAAATGGTTTGAATCACCTTTTGAGTTAAAACAAAGTACTTATAAGGACTCATGGAGAATTTTCAAAACACCCAAAATTGTAACCAAAATGACTTATTCTTAATTCCAGGCAAGAGAGAAGTTTAAAGTGTTTATAAACCATTAAGTTTGAACCTAATCAACTGTATTATCTCTTTGAAGAAAGAGCTAGAGTGAGCATGAAATTCAGAATGAAGAAGTTCAGAGAATAGGAAGTTTTCAAGGTTCTCCAGTATTTCTCAGGGAGAAAGATTATGGAGTGCTTTCTGGTCCAATTAATAGTTTTACTCATCACAAATTAATAAAGTAGCATTCTGGTTTACAGATCACTCTCTCAAGAATTGGTTCAAATGGACCAATTCCCTGAGTCTGACTAACCCTGAGAAAGTTTGCAAGATCCAAACTCTGGACTTGCAAAGCTAAGGAACAAAACATTAACCACAGTCAAGACCTATCAGAGTGGTGCTGCCTGGAGATCAGGTTTCCTTAGATGAAATGTTACTATCATCACCTGTCTTACTCCATATAATATTTATCAAAAAGAGTAACATTAAGCCATGTTAAATAAAAATAAAATATTCATGCATTACAAGTAAAATGCTACTGTGAAGTATTAACAAGAAATTCTCTCCAATCACCTTCAACAAGGGCTGAGAAAAAGGAAACAGTTCCATTAAAATAAACTCTTACCTTCCATACTGGTTCTCCAGTGCTGTTTTTAACATGAGGCACATTGAAATTCAACATACGTTTCAAAGCCACTGGAAATGAAAATAGTCTCATTAAATATTACCACTGTTTTTTAGGATTTCACTTTCCCCCCACATTTATTACTTACTAGTTCAAAACAAAATACACAAATTATTCTAGCAAAACCGATTAATCAAATGACTGGATACGTAGAAGTGGGGTCAGACTTTATAAGAGTATTCCATCAACAGCTAATTGGCATGATTTGGGGACTTTCTAAAATACCACAGGCATCTGTTGCCAGATGAAAATGTGAAAAAAATGTCCAGAAAGAAGCTTTTACCACTTCTCCTGATGATCCCACAGTACATTTTATATAGATGCAAAATAAATGTTGTCAATCACAAATCTGCAGAGGCCTCAACAGATAGCTGGTGCTGTTGTCCACTGTACAGTTAAAAGCACAGATTAGATCAGTCTTTCAAAAAAATTATCTGTATATTTAACTGGTTCATATACAAAATTCTTCATACAGTAGGTCTATTTTTAAGTCATCTTGGGCTACTTTTTAGGACCAGTTTACCTTGTCAGATTCACTGGAAAGTTTTATTGCTTATATGCTCCATGGAAAAGTGAGACTTTTATATAGATATGGTAGATAACTGAGAACTCCTGCTAAGAAAATATACAATTTCTAAAATCACAGCAGTTACACTTTATGTTATATAGTATTTTATAATTTTTATTGCTCATCTGTTTATGTGTTACCACAGACTCAAGTATAATTAATTTCTAAGGAAAATAAAAATCTCGATGTATGTCTGTGTGAAGATGATATGGCCAAATAGTCAGGGCAGGGTACTCATTAGGTGATTTAATTATTGAAAGACTGGCAACACTAAACTCTACTTGGTTGATGTTTAAAAGCATTTTGATTAGGCTTTATTTAGTAATACAGAATAATCTACAAGCCCGATTTCTACCAGAGAATTACATAATACTCAAATTACCCGAATATCAATTTATAGCATATTCATTCACTCACTAGAAAAACTTCTATTAAGTGCTTGTTTCTCAAAGCAGGTAAAATAAGAAATTGCACTTCGGTGATATATTTGTATATTTGTGTGTATACATACAAACATAATATTTTGGTAAAATATTAGTAACTAATGCCCAGCCAATAATACACATTGTCAATACCGAATACTAATTTACACCTATTTCAGAGGCTCATGGGTGTTAGGGTATTATATACAAAAATATTACATAAACAAACAAAAACCACTTTGGTACTTACAACTGAATTAATACAGGAAGCACAGAAGGTGCTCCAGGATTAACTCTCCCACTGTGCTTTAGAAGAGCTCATCCTCCCACCTCCAGGCAAAACGAATACCACCACCCTGGCACTCATGGCCCGAGAGAGAGAAAATCATGTTTTTGGGAACAGCTGTTCACACTTGCCACAGGACAACTAGGAAGAACCATCTGAGAGCTATACAGTGTTTTCCAGAGGTGGGCCTTAGCTAAATCAAAGAGGCCAAATAACAGCAGGTATTTGCCCTCCCAACTCTGAGCCTTGGTTAACTTGTTAACAGGGATTTTGATACAGTGGATTTGTTGATCAAGGTCAATGTCTGTGTCCAAATAACGTATAAGAATGTAATTTTCGCCCTGGCCGGTTTGGCTCAGTGGTTAGAGCATCAGCCTGCGGTCTCGAGAGACCCGGGTTCGGTTCCCACTAAGGGCATGTACCTCGGTTGCAGTTTGTCCCCAGCCCTGGCTGGTCGTGCGGGTGGCAGCCACTCGATGTGTCTCTTTCATGTCGATGTTTCTCTCTCTCTCTCTCTTCCTCTCTCTCTCTCCCACTCTACCTGAACAAAAAAATAGAAAAAATGTCCTCGGGTGAGGATAAAAAAAAAAAAAAGAATGTAATTTTCCTTTCATCAGAGTAACGCACTAAGGGCTTAAATCATTGCTTTTAAGTCAAATGACAAACCAGTTTTCTTTACTGGCCCTAAACATACTATGCATAGTCCTAGATTTGGTTAATGTAGTTTCACCCTTACCTGAACTGTTTTCTTCACTTACTATATGCTCAACTATATTTACTACTCATTCAACAAATGTTTAGTGAGTGTTTACCATCTGCTGGAAGCAGCTTTAGCTGTTGGCACTAAAAACAGACGCAATAAAAGTTACCTATCCTCAAGTAGCTTTCATTCTAGTTGGGGGACAAAGACAACAAAATAAATAAAACATGTGGTATGTGAGATCATAAATGCTATGGAGAAAAACAAGGAAGGGAAGGGTAAGAGGTCACTCAAGGATATTTTTCCATTGATCTTTAGACAGAGTGGACGGGGGAAGCAGGGGCATGAGGGAGAAAGAGAGAAAGAGAAACATCAATGGTGTGAGAGAGATACATTAATTGGTTGCCTTCCTCACGACTCTGACCGGAACTGGGAATCAAACCTGCAACCCAGGTACGTGCCCTTGCCCAGAATCGTACCCATGACCTTTCCATCTGTAAGCTGACGTTCTAGCCACTGAGCCAAACCAGTCAGGGCAGTTGTGGTGTAATTTTAAATTGTCAGGAAAGGCCTCCTGAGTAGGTACCATCTGAAGACCTAAAGAAAATGAGGGAGTGAGCCACAGATATCTCTAAAAGAATATTTCAGATAGAAAAAACAAATATAAAGGCTCTGAAGTGGGAACTCTGGTGTGTTCAAGGAAAGGGAAGAGTAATAGGGAGTGAGGTCCAAAAGTTAAGTGGGAATCAGATCATATGGAGCCTTGTAGACCACTGTAAGATCACTCTGGCTTTTACTATGAGGGTTTTGAGCAAATATGTGACATTTGGGTACTGTGTGAAGAAAAATGAAGGGCAACAGGGATGTAAAAGCAAGGAGATCGCCCTGGCCGGTTTGGCTCAGCGGTTGGAGCATCAGCCTGTGGACCAGAGACTCCTGGGTTCGGCCCCCTGCTAGGCACACGTACCAAAAAGAAAAAAGAAAAAGCAAGGAGAACAATAGGGGATTACTACAGAAATTCATGGTAGCTTGGACCTGGCTGATAGCAATGACAAAGTTCAGGTCCTGGAAATATTTTCAGAGTAGAGCTGACAAGACTTACTGACATACCTGACATGGAATATGAAAGACAGAAGTCAAGAAAACTTCAAGGTTTTTGACCGGAGCAACTATAATGATGGAGTTGCCATTAATTGATATGGAGTAGACTGAGTTCAGAGGAGAGAGATAGGCTAGAGAGATAAACTTGGGGTTCATTTGTATATAGATAGTACTTATTTAGCCAAGAGGCTCAAGAGATCACAAGAGAGAAAGCAGTTGATCTGCGGCTCTCCAATGCTCAGAAGTGGGGGAGCTGAACAAAACTAAAACACAGGATTCCGCTTGTTGAACTAAAGGTAAGAACAGAGCTCTGGCCGGTTTGGCTCAGCGGTTAGAGCGTTGGGCTGAGGTCCTGAGAGACCCGGGTTTGGTTCCTGCTAAGGGCATGTACCTTGGTGGCAGTTTGTCCCTGGCCCTGGTTGGGTCGTGCGGGTGGCGGCCACTCAATGTGTCCCTTTCACGTTGATGTTTCTCTCTCTCTCTCTTCCTCTCTCTCCCTCCTGCTCTATCTGAACAAAAAATGGAAAAATGTCCTCGGGTGAGGATTAAAAACAAATAAACAAACAAAAAATAAAGGTAAGAATAGAGAAGGCAGTGGTCCAGGACACTTTCATAAACAAGATGACTTCTGAGGTGAACTTTGAGACGAATAAAGATTCTTCAGACAAGCAAAGCAAAAAACAGACATCTCCAAAATGGAGATAATAATACATATAAAAAGAATTTAAACCAGTGCCGGGCAATACTAAATGCTCAATACATATCAACCATGATCTAACCAAATAGATTGTAAACTCCTCTTTATCACACCATTTGGTATTTAAAATAATTGAGAATTGACTGTGAGTCATTCCCCAAAACATTCTCAATAGACATCAGGGAAACGTTGAATTCTGCTACTATAGCATATATAAACGAGTTTAATCTTTCTCTGAAAATAAAACAGAATTTAACTAGATTACTAAAATGATAAATTAATGATGTGAAATCTTGCTCTGCAGAAATTGAGATCATGCTATTAGATTTAAATTAAAAAAGTGTCTGTATATAAAAATTACTACCATACCAATTTTCATTTTTAAAAAAGTTCCCTTGTATTGGTACAGAGTCTTCTTTCACATCTTTCTTAATTTTAATATGTAGTATGCCCTACTTCACTGAGCTTCATTAAGCTGTCAGAACCACATCTCTAAAACGAGCAGGATTCTATTTGCTTACAGAGATAAAATGAATGGCAGATATTCCCCAAATCTTATTTGGACTTTCATATATTTATGTCTGCCTTCATCTGGTATCTTATACTAAATTATCTATTGGGGAAAGCTAAACACAACTCTCTGTGCACTGTGTGTCATTATTAAATTGAAGTCTGTCGTTCACTTTTTTTTTTTTTTTTTTTAAATCCCAAGGAATGAATTAAGCACAACCAAAATCCCTGCTGTAGGTCACATTAATTGTAACCAATTATTTTCCTATTCATACTTACATGCAAAAATACAATGATTACGAGAGACAGAATTTCCAAGTATGCACCTTCTTGATGGCTTATTTCTATTAGCTCTTCAGAACGAACAGCTTGCCAACTTTTAAGACAATCAGCTAACAGTTATAAACCATCAGCTCGTAGCTAACAGGTATAATGCAAGTTGCCATCAGAAAGTTTACAAAAAATTAAGACAAAACTAAGAATCTCTAAGGCAGAAAGGTGAAATGGCAGAACGTAAGCTGCCCTGAAAAGCATATTAAAATTTTTTGACTGTGGTGGAAATGCCAGAAAACAAAACTCTCTCGACCCTATTCAAACTGGGAGAGAACCGAACCAGCACAGAAACAAACCCGGAGACCTCATAGGTGGCAACACAGGGGAAAAAATGCCAGCCGCCAGATTCTGTCACGACGGCCTCCCAGCAGACGAGACAAGGCAGGACCACAGCCACCGGCACACTGCTGGAGCCCCTTCTCCTGCACTGAAGAGCGGCCGAGCTCCCACGTCCATGGCATCTCTTCCTTGAAAACTCAAAAGGGGAGGGGTTCCCGATGCTCCGGGAACTGGGTTAAACTCCTCCAGGTCCGTCTCCCCGCTGCACGCACCGCGTCTAAGGGAGGGCGACCAGTCGGGGAGGAGGACGTCCCACCGCAGGCACAAACCACAGGGAGAAGGGCATAAAGAAGTTGGTACCTGTTTGTCTCTCTCGGATACTAGCCGCCGCCATCTTGGCTCCCACCATCCACTGCCCGGCTGGCGAGCAGAGCCCAGGATGACGTGGCCGCCGCAACCGCCCCGGAAGCAAAGCCCGGAGGGGCGGGGCCAGAGGAAGTTCTTGGGGGTTGGACCCCGCCTCCTCCAGGACGGCTCTCCCACCGCTTCAAACCTCCGCAGGACTTCGAACCCAGTGCCGGTTCATACCTGAACCCCGTGGCGTTTTTCAGCTGCGGAATAATAGGATTTTTTATTCTATTTGTTCAGGCCACCGCCTCTCAAACAGTAGCTGCTTTCAGTTGAGCTCTTACGGTGGGAGCGGAGTGTAGTGCAAAGAACATAATTAAACGCCGGACTGTTGGGTCATTTACAGATCACTAACTGGTGAGAATACTTAGGGGTTTAAGGACCAGGACTAACGTCGTTAATTGAAACTCCGGTAACAAAGTAGGCACTTAAATGCTAGCTGCCTCTTCTGTTTCCTCTTCGCTCCCCTTTACTGGGAAAGGCGGCTTTGGAGCAATGTTTTTCTCAGTGGTCTGGCTTTATGGTGTTTTGCTAACATGGACACAAGAACCAGAAGGATGCAAAATGGCAGAGATTTCCTCCCATCCCTTTGGTAATTGCAAAAATCACAAAACACTGCTTTGGGGGAGAGTAGGTAAGTGGATTTGGCTGGTGTTTTAATGTACACATGAAGCCACGTGGTCAAATGTACCCAATATTGATGATTCCCAATTTAATCCATAGATTTTTATTGGATGTCAAAAACGGATCCACAAAGACAGCTCATTTCCCATATGTTTAGAGTTCACTGATGACATAGCACTAGCTGTTTATGTTCATTCTAAAGCTGCGCCAGATTCTGAAATGAAATTAAGTGTCTCAAAAACTGCTTTCAAAACAACTTTCAAATTTATATGAGAAATTAGTTAAAAGTTACCCTAACAACTACACGAAAAGCACATTTCTGTAATAAAATATTAACTTCTCTATTTCACCAATAAAAGTCATTTATTTTTACAAAACTTAAGACAGGTGATCTTATTTAAAACACCATTAGGAAATGCCCTAGAATTGAGCTTACATTCTTTTTCTTGTGTAATTAAAATTATTTTTCAGCTTCATGGAGAATTGACAAAATCTGTAAGGTATTTAAAGTGTATATCGTGATGACTGACATATACATTGTGAAAAGATTCCATCTAGTGAATGATCACATCCATCCCCATGAGAACAATTTAGCTCTACTTTTAAGCACATTTCAATGATAAATACAGATATCAACTGTAGTCATCATGTTATATATTAGTTCCTCAGACCTTATTCATCTTGAAGCTGAAAGTTACAATTGTTTGACTTCTATGTACCAGGGGATGGGATCTGGGGGACAGAGAGGTTGGTAAAAGTTATGAATCGTTAAGAATTGCATTCTCTCTCATTTCTATAGCTAGTTGGCATAGTCACTAAGAAATTAACTGGAATTACTGTTTTATTCAGTGTTATCACCAATATTTTTAAATAGTTTAAAAAAACAAACAAAAAACCCTCACCGGAGGTTGTTTTAATTTATTCTAGGGAGAGAAGGGAGGGAGGAAGATTGATGTGAGATACATGGGTCAATTACCTCCAAAACCCACAAACTTTTGGTGTATGGGGTGATGCTCCAACCACCTGAGCCACCTAGCTAGGGCTATCACCAATATTTTGAAGGAATCACCAATGATCTAGGTGTGTTGAGAATAAACAGAAATGACAGTTCCTGCCCTATGTGAAAGTTCTTCTTCAGTTTTTGTGTCCATGGAATATAAAATATACAGGCTTTCTGGCTTTCCAACACCTGAGAGCCCAATCTTATTCATTTGGGTACTTATACTCTCAAATTCAAATCGATCATTTAACCATTTCAGCTCCATCAGACTTCTCCCTAATACTATACATAAAACCATATTAAAATGCTAAGAAAATGTTTAACATTTATATACAGTATCAACATAAAACTGATAAAAACTATTCTCAACAAGGAGTGCACATAATGTGGTCAATAAACTTATAGAAAAATATGCCCCACAGATGAATAGTAGTAGACAAGTAGTCTCTGTAAGGCTGAGACTAAGGTATCTGGTACATATTTGAATCAAATAATAAAAATAAATTGTGGCTTCAGAATATCAGTTAATCTAACTTATTGTACCCCTTTATCCAACTCTACCTACCCAGATTTTTGGCTTAAATAATTTATTCTGGTAAACTGTAATCCTTCATTCAAGAGAGTTTCCTAAGTGCAAGCTGACAGTTCGCAGGATCTCTCAAACGCAGAAAGAATCTATCTACTTAATATTTTTGGAATCTTAACCTTGTTAAATCATGTCAAGTTATTTAACTAAGTTTATATAAGCATTTCACATTTAGTAGCATAAACATTTATTTTAAAAACTTCATTTAAGTGGCATGTTTTTTTGGCTACATCTGATGTCTTCAAAAGGGGGGGATGGGAATAGGCTGCCATATAAACTATCACCTAGTACAATACCTGGCATACAGTAAGTATTGGAATACGTTTGGCAACTGAGAAACAGTCAAAATGAGAACTTAAAAACTGGGTTTCTTCAAAGCAACCCAAACATTCCTAAACTACACATAATACACATTCAAGCAATCCATCATTCAATGTGTTCTTACGCTTTGTATTGCATTACTCGAAGCACAAGACTTTGTGTTGCATTACTCGAAGCATTAAAACTAGTTTAATAGCTTACTGTGAACATAAAATGAAGCATGTGATAATCACTATATAAAAAGATCACATATTTATAAATAGAATCATTTTTTGGTTGACTGTTTTCTTTATAAACAGAATCTTGTTCTAATTTCTTATGACTGGAATGCTAAAGGCAAAGTCACTGAAAAACTTACCTATTATACTTTCCTTAGCATTAAGTAGCAAGTGCAAAAACTCCACTAGCTTCCATATTAGTAGGGACAAAAATGATAAAAACTTTTGGTATAAAGTAGAAGTCAAGTGATTTCTCAAATGAAGGCTTTTTACTTGACACAAAGAATGACCTATTCATAAATGGGAATTAAATATGACAAAATATAAAATCATAAGCTAGTTTCTGATACTTTAAAGAATATTTACCTTAAATACTAAAATAACCAAGTAGAAGAATAGTAGAAAATTGTATAAAAAAACTTTCAGATGAAGTTCTCACACCAAAAAGTTTAAAAGCGGTGACTATAAAACTAACCAAAGACCATTAATAGCAGATACATAATAGGCAAATTTTTGGTTTTCTTTGATATTAAGAGCAATAGAAAACAAGCTTGAAATATATGACATTTGGATGAAAATATTTAAGAAATACATACATACATAATGGTTTATAGCATTATTTCTTTTGAAAATCAATTAATTATCAGTAAGAAGTATGCACTGGCCATAACAGTGAATAGAAAAAGAACATTCAGAATACAAACCATTTGACATAGTAACACTGCAGAAAACAACCTACAAGTTTCTCTGATATGGCCTGACTACACAGATTAATCTTTAAAAATCATACTAATGGAAAATCCTTGAAACAGAAAACGTTTTTCAATATGAATACTTAGGCTTCAGTTTAAACCAAGAATATCCTAATGATTATTCACAACTTATCCCTAAGGCCCTGACTATGCATAAAGTAAGTGAGCAATTGAAATACTGTTTTGATTGTATCCAAACCAAGCTCCCTTCCTCCCTCCTACCCCTCCCCACCTAAAAAGTGTGTGCGTGCTCATTAGCTTAATATACCACAGTAGGGGAAATTAATTAAAACTACAAATAACCAGAAAATTCTTTGAATTAGATTTTTGTTTGTATTGGTTTAGTGGCTTTTAAATTTTATAAAACTAGGTAGGTTAAGAAATAAAGTAGCCAATATTATCAACACATTTGAAATATATGACAAGTTTGAGATTTACATTAGATGTTCAAACTCATTTTTGATAATCGGTCTTTTAATTACTTTCAATAATCTAAATTTAACACAAGACAAAGAAATGTTCTAAAGTTCTTGAAAACTTCAAATGAAAGTGAAAATTTAATTTGCTGGATCTGTTAGTAAGTGTAACAAAGAAAATCACACTAGGATTATGTTTTAGTTTTCCTTTGGTATTAAGAGATATATATTACCGATATCAAATCAATCCTGTTATTTTTCTTTGAAAATATCAGTAACTGCCCTGGCTTGTGTGGCTCAGTGCTTAAAGCACCGGCCCACTCGCCAAAGTGTCTCGGGTTTGACTCCCAGGCAAAGATATGTACCTAGGTTGCAGGTCCGACCCCTAGCCCTACTAGGGGCATGTGTGGCAACCAATGTGTCTGTCTCACACTGATGTTTCTTTCTCTCTCTCACTCTTTCTACCCCTCATCCCTCCTTCCCTTCCACTCTCTCTAAAAATTAATGAAAAAAATATCCTCGAGTGTGGATTAACAAAAATATAAAAATAAAAATATCAATATCTTGCCCTGGCCAGTTTGGCTCAGCGGTTAGAGCGTCGGCCTGTGGTCCAGAGAGACCGGGGTTCGGTTTCCGCTAAGGGCACGTACTTCGGTTGCAGTTTGTCCCCGGCCCTGGTTGGTCGTGCGGGTGGCAGCCACTCGATGTGTCCCTTCACATCGATGTTTCTCTCTCTCTCCCCCTCCCACTCTATCTGTACAAAAAATGGAAAAATATCCTCGGGTGAGGATTAAAAAAAAAAAAAAAAAAATCAATATCTTAGGGATGTTTCTTGGGGAGAACATGACAATAGCTGATACCTGCTTTGGGTGTCAAGAAAAATGTGGTTATAACCAAGCAGTTTAACTCTCACATGATTTACTTTGGTGGAAAAGCCATTTATATTTGATAATAGTTAGAGAAATTAGACTTTTCCAATTTCTTCTTTTGCAAAAGTATATATAAAAAATATGGGGACATGACTATGGGGATATAATCTCCAAATTGTTATTACATGATTTCTAGTTACATTTAGGTAACAGTAATAAATGTTAATGTTCTTTGACTTTTAGTAACATTAACAAAGTTAAAAAAGGAAACGAGTTTATAGAATACATTGACACACATCAGTTAATTCTGTGTGGAGAGATTAGAATGGGTTTTTCATTCTATTTGTATTTCTTTCTTACATATTTCTACATGGCCTATATAATAAAGATACCTTTCAAGAGCAAAAAAAGATAACAGTAATACAATGGTGTGAGCTTATCTATCACACAACCATCTCAATAATAAATAAATGTCAAATAGCCAAACCTACCATGTGACAACCCACAGATATCATTCAGATACCTGAAATGATTATGGGTGAGACAGGGAAAAAAAAAAATCCTATGATTAAAGACACTTTCTTAGTATTTTCAACTATATTTTTATCTACCTCAGAAGTATTTTTAAGACCATGGAATATCCATAAATTATAGACAATTTGTGCAATTCCGCTTTTTATGTAATACTTCCCCATTAGGCATAATCTAATTGCAGTGTGGGTCTATTTTAATATAAATCAGGAATCTAAAGAAAACATTTTAAACAACCAATTTAGTGCCATCCTAGAAAAGGATACATATAACACATACCCCAGAATATATACCTTTGATTTATATAACAGAATTTTTCAACTAGTTTTTCTATTTAATGCTTTAAAATAAAATAAGTAATAATTTGAAATTGCATAAAGCTAGAAGAAAATCAATGTGGTATCCTATAGCTAATCCAAACGTACAAAAACAGTGAGTACAAGTTTTTTTTCTAATATACACCATGCTACTATACTTGAAGAAAGTCTGTACAGCCATTCTAAAAGTATTTATATCGAAGGTTATGAAGCATGTATACTAACAAAATAGAAAAACATCATTAACTATGACTGGTACACCTTAACAAAAATTTTTTTAGCTTAAATGGCCAAAACATTCCTTTATGTTCATGTCATAAATTTTATTGGACCAAGAAGCTGACAAGTTTGTTCAAAAGTGATGATAGACAGATTTCTGAAACAAAAGTATAAATAGCAGCTTTTAAAGAAGCATCTCTTTGTTCAAAACATGTTACTGTCCAATGTAGTGACAGCTTTCTTCCTTTTCTAGTCTTAGAGTGTTTCTTATGGCAAAGTCCATTTTGTCTTGAAATTCTTTATATGTATTGGTGATTGGAAGAGCTAAACAGTTATTACACTTGTTTCCAACAGGAAAATCTGTTTGAAGGCACTCAATTGAAGGAGTGGGTTTAAATCCAGCAGGTGGAATGGAATTGCAGCCAGTTGCAAAAATAAGAATGTCTTCCAGTGTTGTTGCAGATTTACCATCTGAACAGTTTACCAAAAAAAGAAAGAGAAAGAAAAATAAGTTAATTATATATTGCTACCATCATAGACTCTTCTCCAACTTGACTGAGAATGTTGAAAGGCAGAGACTCCCACATTTACCTTGGGCAAACTAAATCACTAAGTCAAATGCAGCACTAGGAAAATAGTACATTCAGTAAATGTTTTTATTTTTAATCTCAAAGTAGGACTCCCAAGATCATTTAGTTGAACTACTCATTGCCTATTTGAATGCCTTCTCTAATATAAAATTATAGAGTCCAAGAGGTTCAGTGGGTTATGAAACTCCATCTTTTTGGGATAGGATACTTAAAAACAATTTTAAACTACTTCTGGATCATCAATATTTGATAAACTAGTTCAGTGATTTTCAACCTTTTTCATCTCATGGCACATATAAACTAGTTACTAAAATTCTGTGGCACACCAAAAAATATATTTTTTGCCAATCTGACCCCCAAAAAAGGTGTAATTTTCATTCACTTATACCAGCTATAGTTGTTTTGGAGGTTGTCATTTTCTTATTGGACAATCTATGGGAAAAGAGGTCAGTGCCCATAACTAAATAGTAAGGCATTGCATGTTTTCAGAATTCTTGTGGCCACTGGTTGAAAATCAATTAGTTTAACAAATGCAGAGAAAAACTAAATGGTGTAAAACAAAAACAAACTAATACAAAAACCTAGCTAAAAGAAGATTTAACTAAAAGTTAAAAAGTTGTCCACTCTATTAAACAAAATGATTTCACGTTGCTAATGCTCAATGACAAATATCACTATCAAAGCCCTAACCAATGAATGAAAAATAATCCAATTTAACTTAAGTTTGAAAAAGATGAAACAGACAATTAGCTTTTAGACTGTTCTATGCAGTGGCAATCACCCATATATTTAAAATTCCTCAGAAGAATGCCTTTTGCCTCAAATCATATAAAGGAAAACACTGTAAAACATAATAACTTTATACTGTAACCTTTCCTCATCACCTTCAACTCAGTTATATAAACTTGTTTTTAACTGTTTTGTAAATATGGAGTTAGCTGATGAAAGTTCTTATTATCAGAAAGCAAAACTAAAGAAATAAATTTAAATACTAAAACATTCTAAGACAGTTAGATAAAAATAAAAATCCACATACCCTCAACAGCCTGTAAGTAACTGTTCCAAAACCCCAAAGACTGTGCATCAGATAACGTGTGTACTGTAAAAAGATCACTAAGGATTTTTGCAGAAAGATTCTCAGGTTTATGACAGAAGATGCTATAAAATGCTTCTGGATAAGTCTGAATTTTCTCCAAAACACCAAGAGTTTTCAGACCCTGCTTAAAACTTAAGAGAAGAAAAGTAATGAGCAAACATTCACACGTGTATTTGCTATTACACTAGGAGTTAACATTTCTAGCTAATTTACCACCACATATACAGAAATGTGAGGAAAAAGATAAAAATTATGGGTATACTGTATGTGCTATGATACTTTCAAATCAATAACAAATATTTTAATGTAAAATGAATCTTTTATATGTTTACATTATCTGGTTTTATAGAATAGTTTTAAAAGTAAGCTAACAATTTTTAAGAGAAAAATGTAGACATCTGAAGTATTTTATACTTCAAAGCTAATTAGTGTAAAATTGAAGTTTTCTAGAGATTGCAAAAAGATTGCAAACCATAGCCACATAAAAATTTAAAACATTATGTATTGCTAAAAGGAAATTAACAAAGGAAAACAAAGAGGGAAAGTCCTTTTAATATACATGACAAAACTAATTTCTAAATATATAAAATATACAAATAATTTTTCTAAAAGAACAATCCAATAGGAAATGAGCAAAATATGAATGCATAATTCACAAAATACAAGTAACAAATGACTTTTTAAAAATGTCTATACTAGTGAGCAAAGCGTGAAGGTACTAGCAGACTGACTAAGCCCTATCTGTGGCTCTGGGCTCCTTACCACAGGTACTCCTTGACACACTGATTCCCCTCCCTTTCTACTGGATCTTCCTCAAGAGCACATAAATCTATCTTTGAATACGGAAAAACAAATTCGTCAAGCCCATCTGTTTTCATTCAGTACAACCTGCTTGAAAGACTTAATCTATATTTACTGTCTCCGTGTCTTAATTCCCATTCACTTTTCTTCCACTCCTGTCTACATCTCGGGAATAACTGCCATAAGTTCATGACTGATCTTCCTTTTTGGCACCAGTCTCCTGGTTTCCTCCTTTTTCTCTGATCAACCTTTTCAGTTTCTTACAAAACATTTTTGTTTTCTTCTTTACTTTGCTTTAAATGTTGCTCTTTGTCTTCCATAGATTTGTAACAAGGCCAATTTCTCCTGTGGCTTCATTTAGCAGGTATACCTAGGCTCATCACTATAAAACTGTCTCTCTCCAGCCCAGAAATATAGCCAACAGACTATTGGGTAGCACATATTCCAAGCATCTAAATGTATTAAGTCCAAAATAAAGCTAATCCTTACTAACAAAATCTGAACCATAAGTGACAATAAAGCCTACATTTTATCCGTCAAATTAGTATAGCTAAATCAAGTCAACCTTAACTCTTCTCTTCCATTCCTAATCACCAAGTCCTATGAATTCCCTTTTCTGAAATCCCTTTTACTGGCTCATTTCTCCCTACACCCACTACCACCTTATTACAAACCACTCACAGAGGAACTGTTGTACCAGGTGTGTAAATCTCGAAGTTCGTTTTTCATGCTATAGGCACAGGTATGTGCCAGAAATAAACCCAATACTGTCATTCATCCTGAGGCAGGAAGGAGGCCCCACAAAAGATATTTCCACATCCTATTCCCTGAAACCTGTGAATGTGACCTTATTTGGAAAAATGGTTTAAGCAGATGTAATTGAGGATCCTGAAATCATCCTCTCTAGATTATCTATCCGGCCCTAAATCCAATGACAAGTGACTTTATAAGAGACACACAGAGATGAAAAGGCCATGTGATACAGATACAGAGAACTGGAGTTCCGTAACCACAATCCAATAATGCCAGGAGCCACCAGAAGCTGGGAGTGGCAAAGAATAGAGTGTCTTCCTAAATTTCCAGAAAGAGTGTAGCTCTGCCAACAAGTGAATTTTGAACTTCAAGCCTCCAAAACTGAGAGAATAAATTTCTGTTGTTTTAAGCTATGCAGTTTGTGGTAATTTTTTTTTACAGCAACCACAGGAAACTGATACACACTCTTGTCCAAGAAACAAAGTCCAACCTCCTTAACATGCCTTCCAGGGCCCTCCAAAATCCCACCCTTCCCTTTCTTTTTTTGAAAAACACCTTTTTTTCTTTATTGATTTATAGAGAGAGAGGGAAAGATAGAAACATCGATGAGAGAACACAGATTGACTGCCTCCTGCATGTCCCCCACTGGAGATCAGGCCCACAACCTGGGCATGTGCCTTGACTGAGAATCAAACTGGCAACCTCTTGGTGCATGGGTGGATGCTCAACCACTGAGTCACACTGGCCGGGCCTTGCCTTTCTTTCTTAAGATGTACCTTCCGTTTACCTTTCAAGCAAATTTCAGCCAAACTTAAGTTCACCCTTAAAATTTTATTTAATGTTTTAATTGATTTTTTGGGGGAGAGGAAGAGAGAGGGATAGAGAAACACCAACATGAAAGTGAAACATCAACTGATAACCTCCCGCACACCCCACCCCACTGGGGATCGAGCCCACAAGCTGGGCATGTGCCCTGACTGGGAATTGAACCAGCAACCCCTTGGTGCATGAGATGATGTCCAACCAACGGGCAAAATTTTATTTATATATTTTTTCTTTCTTTATTGATTTTTAGAGAGAGAGGATGGGAGAGGAAGAGACAGACAGAAACATCGATGAGAGAGAACATCAATTGGCCGCCTCCCGCATGCCCCTCAATGGGGATGGGGCCCACAACCTGGGCAGGTGCCCTGATCAGAAATCGAACCAAGCAACCCCTTGGTGCATGGGTTGACCCTCAACCACTGATCCACACCAGCTGGGCAAAATTTTATTTTTAATAAGGAAATATTTCAAGCCTAAATACAAATCCAGGAAATAGAAAACCACAAACTGTCACTGGATTTTAAAAGACATTCACATTGTTATGTTTGCTCAGATTATTTGAAAGAAAAATATTCTATTCATTTAATTAAACTCTGCCCATTTACCACTTTCCCTTTTCTACTTTTACAAAGGAAACTATTTGAAACTATTAATTACTATCCTGAAATTTTTACTATGTGTGCATCTCATTTTAGTTTCACAATATATGTATCCCTAAATAATAGTCAGCATTGCTCTGATTGTTTTGAAATTTTCTATAAATGGTGACATACTGTATATTTATTTTTCTGCAATTTGCTTCTTTTTAAAGAACAGTGTATTGATTTTGTTTGTTTGTTTTGTTTTGAGAGAGAGAGGAAGGGAGAGGTGTAGAGCAAAACACTGACGTGAGAATGAAACATCAATCAGCTGCCTCCTGCACATCTTCTACTGGGGATCAAGCCCGAAACGAGGACATGTGCCCTAACTGGGAATGGAACCAGCAACTTTTCGGTGCACAGGGATGATTCCCAACCGACTGAGCTGCAAACTTGCTTTTGTGAGAGTAATTTTCACTTGTTATAACTATTACTATATTAGGACACTACTTCTATCACTTTATTTTGGGCAATTGTACTGCTTTCAAATAAGTTATTCCTTTCTGTCAACGTTTTAATTTTTTAAAATTCCAATTTACCTTCTATTTTAAAAGTCATACTAATCCTTTTTTAGAAAACAGTTACCTCTTAAGATTTTAATAGGCATATTTAAAATCTAAAGTGAACCAATGTACAGTAGTCTCCCCTTATTCACAACATATGTTCCAAGACCCCAAGTAGATGACTGAAACTGCGGATAGTACTGAACCCTAATATACAAGATTTTTTCCTATACATACATACCTTTCCCCTTAGTAATCAACTTCAACTCTGCTGGAAATGTGGCAGCAGTTTCTTCATGGGCAGACATCCTCTTCAGTAATTTTTATATTTTCCAGTCCAAAACTATCCCAGAATCTGTGTAACCATCCCCTACTTGCAGTAAATGGCTTGGTGTCACTTGTTTCAGGGATCCCTTGCTGAAGTCTTCAGATAAGCTCAATGCTTTCTGGTGCAACATGTTGCCATCAATCAGAACAAGTTTTCTGTTCATGTCTTCCACACACAATTTAATGTCTTTTGCATCTTAACTAAGCACCTTTCACGCACTGTGGCCATAACGTTTGCACTGTGAGGTGCAACAGCAAAACTAGCATGAATTTATCTTTCTTCACAATTTCACAGATTAGTTCTTACTATAGATCTTAGCAACCTCAGCATATGATTTTCTTCCCATTCCTTATTAAGGTTGAGAATGTTCTATTTTTCACTTAAAGGAAGTACTTTAAGGCTTCTCATTGGCAATCTGAATTTCCAGTATCATTACTCTTGCACTTTGGGGCCATTATTAAGTAAAATAAGGATTACTTGAAACCAAGTAGTGCAATACTATGACAGTCCATCTGAAAACCAAGATGACTACTGACCAAGGGATAGGGAGTGTATGCAGAATGGATATAATGGATAAAAGAATGACTCATATCTCAGGCAGCGAGAGTTTCCACAATGCTACAAAAAACAGTGCACAATTTAAAACTTATGAATTACTGCCCTGGCCGGTTTGGCTCAGCGGTTAGAGCGTCCGCCTGCGGTCCGGAGAGACCCGGGTTCGGTTCCCGCTAAGGGCATGTATCTCGGTTGCAGTTTGTCCCCGGCCCTGGTTGGTCGTGCGGGTGGCAGCCACTCGATGTGTCCCTTTCACATCGATGTTTCCCTCTCTCTCTCTTCCTCCCACTCTGTCTGTACAAAAAATGAAAAAATGTTCTCGGGTGAGGATAAAAAAAAATAAATAAATAATAAATTTTAAAACTTATGAATTACTTATGGATTTCCCCACTTAATATTTCTAAGCCATGATTGATAGGAGTAACTGAAACTGAGGAAAGTGAAACTGTGGATGGGATGGGGAGGGACTTCTGTATTTATCCTCTTCCTGAATAATACAAAGACCTTAGAACACTTTAAACTCTATTAGCTCTCACTCTTCTATGCTAATTAAAAATTTTTAGTTCCATCTTGTATCATGAACCCCCAAAGTAAACATTTTTTGGTACAATTCGTTGCTCTGTTTACTCATTTCTTTATCATTCCTTCTCACTAGCAAACCTCCCTGCAAGAATCTTTTACCTCTTGTATCCAGTCAACTTGCAAAATTCTGTATAGAAGAATTTCTT